CCTCGTAATTATTGTTATTGCTCTTAAGTATTATTATTAGAAGTTAGAGATGTTACAGATGGTGCCATTGATTATCAGACTATGTGTAAAAGTGGTAGAATCACATGGTATGGACACCGTTGGCATCTACAGAATCCCCGGAAACACTGCTGCAGTAAATGCTTTAAAAGAAACTTTAAATGGTGAACTTACTGAGGTAATTCTAAAGTTTTATCAAAGAGCAAAAAAGAGTACGTGCTTTTGTTGCTGAACAAAAATTGTTGCATTACATACAAATATTTTAAAAATTTTTTAAAAGTAATGAAAATTGCTTTTAAAAAATTATGTAAAAATGAAAATTACACTGTAAACATAGTTTATTAAACAATATAAATTTTTTAGAATATTTAAAAAAGATATATTATTTCCATAAGATAAAATTATTCGGATTAGAATAAGGCTAGACAATGTTGCTAAAAATGTAAAATGTATTTTGCTCATAACTGATAAGAATTTTTGTGCTAATTAAGTTTTTAATAAAAGTTAAGTAATTTATTGAATAAGTGAAACAAAGAAAATGAACTATTTAAGACAAAAATAAACTGTGTGAAATTTTTATGACATATTTTACATATTTTATGAGGAAATAATCTCAAATTCAATAATAATAATGATAATAATAATAATAAGTTTTGAATTCAAAATGACCATAACTGCATAATTTTTGTTCATTTGCCATCAATAATTAATTTACCGTTGCTGATTTTTGAGATTGACCTAGCTGACCCTAAATGGAATGATGTCAATGTTGTTAGTAGCCTTCTCAAAATGTTTTTGCGCAAATTACCTGAACCATTATTGACTGATAAGTTATATCCATTTTTTATTGATGCAAATCGAATAACTTCACATGCCCAGCGATTACGGAAACTTCGTAATTTAGTATGTCATTTCTTTTTTAACCTTAAAATATGCATATTTTGTAATTAAGCCAGTTTTCAGCAGTGTTTTTTGTAAAGTTATCAAAATTCTAATTCTGTAAAAGCATTAACTTGCAACGAATTGAATTAAAATAAAAAGCAGATAAAAATCAAATTAATAAATTGCTTTATAGGTCCATAAACTTCCCTTGGCTCATTACGAGACGCTAAAGTATTTGATGGGACATTTAAAAGAGGTAGTTGCTCACAGCGATATTAATAAAGTAAGTTTTATGATTTTAATTTTGCTATAATTTAATCAAATTCAAGATTAAATATGTTGTCAATTAAAAGCAAATGCTACTCAAATTTTATTCATAAAAAATCAAAAAATTTATTGCTTTTTTAAAAAAAAATATTAACAAATGAATGAATTTTATTTATACTTATAGATGGAAACTCGTAACTTGGCTTTAATGTTTGGGCCATCAATTGTAAGGCCTAGCGATGACAATATGGCCACTATGGTAACTCATATGTCTGATCAATGTAAAATTGTTGAAGCATTTATTACTTATGTAAGCTTTTATAAATAATTCGAAATGTAAACTTTTTAAATTTTAATTAATTTAAAACGAATACAAAAATGTAACGATTTTTATGCTCTGCGAATATATTCATTCAAAAACAAAATTAGCACTTTTGAATTAATTCACTGGTGTTCAAAACGTAAAATCATCATCATTGATGATTTGTGAAAATAAATTATTGACTCGTGACGTGAAATAATTATTATAAGTGTGAAAGTTTTTTTCATTTGTAGCACAATTGGATGTTTGGTGAGATTTGTGAAGATGATGTGCCACCTCAAGTAGCACCAAGTGATTCTACAGTTAGTTCCGGAAACATCTCTGGAGTTGGTAGTAATTTAACATCTAGCATTGGTGATTATGATGCTGTTATCATGACTACGTCATTCAATGATATGCATAATTTGATTAGACGTGCTAATGAAGTAGAAGCTACTGCCATGATGGATGCTCAAAAATATGGAAAAGTATGATAAATTGTTTTGAAATAATAAATGTTTTTGATGAATTTTATTGTGAAGCTGATAATTTATCAAAAATTTTAATAATGTATTTTTTTTTCATTTTTGTTTCTTCCAAATTCAAATTGCCAAAAGTAAATCATAAAAAAATTAATTTCTTTTAGATAAAAAATATTTTAAATGTACGTCGAAATTCTAAACGCGATAAACGGAAAAAAGTACGTGATCATTCAGCGCACGCTGCAAGTAATACACCATCATCTAGCTGTAATATGAGAAAGCTGTTTAAAGCATCAGCAAGTCAACCTACTGCTACTGCTTCTTTTGGAAGTGATGAACACACTCTTGCTAGAGTTTATCAGGTGCAAATTACAATTATTATTATTTATTTATTTTTTCATTTATTATTATTATTATTATTATTATTATTATTATTATCATTACTGTTATTGTTATTTTATAAATTAAATTATGAGTATGACTATATTTTTATAAATTACAAAAAAATGTTTCTACAATTTGACGGGAAAAAGATTATGAATATTATTATTATTCAGTTTCTCAGAAAATGATAAGATAACAGAAAAAATTTCCTTTTTGATAATTTTAAAATTTGTTTTTTTAGAAAATTTTTTATTTAGGAACGTGATATTGACGCTGAAATAGCATTACGCAAGCAGCAACGAACACCAACAAGACCTATGTTACAGCATTCTGGTGCAAGTTCATCAGCTGATCATTCTTGTTCACGTAGCCGTAGTTCTGCCACTCATGATGTAACACCTCCGTTAAGCTTGAATTCATCACGCGAAAATTCCGATGAAGCTGATGAAATGCGACGTCGAAGACAAAAAGTGCGTTGGATTTCATTTTTTTTTTTCAGTTTTACTTGTGGTTTAAACAGAAAAAATTGACTTTTAGTTTTTGACTGAAATTTTAATTTAAAATGAACTTCGGAATTATATGAAACGTAAATTTTTTCATTATGCTTCAAACTAAATATTTGTCTTGTTTTCGAAATAATTTACTAGAAGCTACTGTTTTAATACTTACTTTCAATATTAAGCGATTTTTGGGAATGTGTTTTGAGATATTTGAACTTTGGCATTACTTTAAGTAAGCAAAAAAGCAAACTTATCAAAGCTTTAAATTGTGGCTTAACAAGTATTTAACTTATTTAGTTGCAGCAACAAAATATTTTACAAATGATTAGCGTTTTATATTTTATCCACCATTCATAAGTTTAATGCATAATTTTGCTAATGAATTATTTCAGGAAATGTATTCTGCGCGACGGATTTTTATTGCGGGTACAGATGCAGATTTGAATGACAATGTTGACCTAGATGATCTGATGAGTCATTCACGTCATTTAAACTTGGCTTCTTCACCAGCTCTCGATGTGCTAAGCGCAGAAACACGTGAAAAAATTCGACGATTGCAACAACTTCAGGGTTGGGCCACTACAGCACTTGAACGACGTGATGCTGAAGGTGCAACGAATAAGAAATATCCGCCAGTTCAGAAAACTCAAACTGAAGTACTTTATGAATTGAATTGATAGTAATTAATTTCTTAATGAAGTAATGCAGAATTAACCAATTCTTTTAGCATAAATAAACTTATGGATACTGAAGCCAATTATTATCCTTTTTACCTTTTAAATTATTTTTGCTTGACCTCATATGAAAGTATATTTTTATTAAAAAAACTTATTTCATTAAGGTAAAATTAATACTACCAATCAAGACAGCCACAGAGGATTTCTCATCAACAGATGCTCTTTCATTAACTTCTGATTACAGTACGACATCATCTGCACCATTAACAATTCCAGTTACTGTATCCTGCATTGATCATTTAACTGCTGCTAGTAGTGATTATGCTTCTAGTGACGTGTCACCTAATACACGTAATGTTAGCACATCCCCCAGCCAAGTTGATTTGGAAGTACGCTTCATTTTTATAAATTTTTAGCCAATATAATTAAAGCTAAATTCGTATACACATTTGTTTCCATATATGGAGCAATTTTTTTAATCACTAGCAAGCAGTCACTTATCCTGACTTGCTAGTTATCACCATCATGCGGTGATATATACCGCATGATATATTAAAAGGAAATTGAGTTCATATTGTAATAATTTAGATTTAATTTGTGTTAATTAAATATTAATAAAAAGTGGAATTTACGACACTTCACATTTTTTTTTTGGTACATTTATAATACATGCAAAATGTCACTAACCTATTTTTTGATCTATTAATTTGGTAATGGAAATTAATATTTAATAAAAATATGCAGCTTATTCACTTAATATGACAGTTTAATATATTGCATAACTTTTTGGATTCATGTTTACGTAATAAAGAAGCTTAATTACATTTAGTCATAATTTTATATCTAATAATCGTTTTCTTGAGGTGTTGGGATTGAATTCATCTCCAACAGTATCAGATCATTTCAAGCATTCACAAGGAGAGGAAATGCAAATGTCCTCTTCAACTACTGAAAATTGTTACAAAAGTTTAGAAAATGTCTCATTGGAGCCATTACTTATCACACCAACTAAGCATTCAGAAAATCAGTCAAAGGTATTATAACTTAATTAACAATTTTCTATTATATATATATATATATATATCAGTGAAGTAATGCAACAATTGTATTTTTCACAAAAATATTATCATAAAACAAGTCATTTTTCAATTTGCAATTAAATTAAAGAAAAAGGATTTAGTACAAAAAAGTATGGAAACATTTTTGAATGTTTGAAGGTTTCATTAAAATTTTTGCGAAGGATTAATTTGAATTCGAATGTAATCTGGAAATTCTTCGCATACTATACTTAAGTTATTCCATTTTGTACTATACTTTCCGATTAATTTTCAAAGTTTGCTATGTTTTTTCAACTTTCATCAGCTTCAGGGAGGATTTTTGGGGTATAAGGAAATGTGCAAAATGTCAGTGCCACAAGCTCATGAGATTTCATTTTCTAATGGATCAAAAGTGAAGGCGAGAATGAAATTAAATTCTCGACGTGAGCTGTGGAGAAGGCACACGCTTAGCGATATGGATATCGTTAAACAGGTAAATTTTTACTAAAAACTGAATGCTTCATCTTATCACTTATTAATTTATTACTGTTAAGTTTCTGTATAACTTTTGATAAAAAAGAATTATCTGAAAAAATCGTAAGAAAGGCAAATAAATTTTTATTAAATGTTATTTATAATTTGAATTCATTCTGAAAACAAAATACTTTACTTTTTCACTTAAAAAACATAAATAATTAAGAAAAATTATCATTGATATATTTTTTACAAAAATTTTTATATATATTTAATTTTTTTTCTAAATAAAACTTTTTTTGCACATTTTTGCATGTTTATTCAAATTAATCATTTGTTAGACTTTTCAGCAATATTTATTTTCAAACAAATTAAAATTAAAAGTGTTTAGAGGTTAGAAGAAAAATTAGAGCTTGATCATGGCACGTCATGTAGTTCGCAAGCTACGTCAATACAATCAGATATCGGTGCAAAAGTGAACAGATTTGCACGATGGGTAAAGAATAGTCTTAAACGTTCTTCAGCTGCATTTATGGATAGTAACACGGATAGTATCGATAGCAAGCACGTGTCACGTCGTGGCAGTACATGTGATATTGCACATAGTAAGCCACGTGAGATAGAATCGTCTATGAAAGTATCAACAACAATAACAGTTGGATCATCATCTGATAGTAATGGTTCATTAGATGATTCAAATGGTGACTTGACCCGTTCCAGTGAACTTTTTCTTTCTTCAGCCGATGAAAACTTATGAGAGCTTACTTATTTTTTTGTTAGGTTCATTAATTGTAGACTTAATTTTTATTTGTCAAATTGTTAACTTTTAAAAAATTAAACTTATATGCACGTCATAAATTACGTGAAATCCATATAAAAATTTGCATTTTTTGAAAGTAAATTTTCTAATTTTATTCTCAAAAATTGTTTTACATAAAAATTTATTCTCAAACATTGTCGTCCATAAAACTATTCAATTATTTATTTAGTTTAATGAAAGAAAACAAATGTTTTTGTAATCTTTTAATAGCTATGGAATAATTACGTCCTTGGCGATTTAAATGTGCAATTTTACTTGATTACTTGTGTCTCATATTCTAATATTGGTTTTACTGTAATTAGTGCTCAATCATATAAGTTTATTTTAGCTCTAAAAATTTTAATCAAAATGAAATCTCATAATATGTAAATATTTAGCTTACATTTCAATTAATTTAGCTTAAATTAATTTGTTTTATTGTAATTGTTTTAGAAATCATCAGATGTTTTATTAGCTTTATCTGTGTTCTTTACTGTTATCATTATAATCATTACTTCATGCTGTTAAAACTAAGACTAATTTATCTGATAACACTTGAACAAATTCACTTTATATTAAAAAAAGTCTCTGGAAAAAAATATTGTATCTATGATTATAACAAACGTAATTTTGAAAATCAATTTCAAGATCTACTACATTTTTGAATACTTTTTTAGATGTTTTTTTGTACAATTATAATTGTATACAAAAATAATTGTTCTGTTTGATCTTACTTATGAAACTGATATGGTAATCTCTTTTATTTTGACACCAAAAATATTAAATAATCATTTTTGTCGTGGTACTGTATAAATGGATAAAAGAATTTTCAATAGTTTTTATGGTTTTTTTTTCAAACTTTTTTGAATGAAAATCAAATTTTGACCTTTTTAATGGCAAAGGTCGAAAATTTTAGACTTCGAAATTTGCATATTGTTGTGAATCGGCAAAACCTGTGCTGTCTGTTTGCTTTTGTTATTTTCACATTCTTCTAAAATGAGAATCTTTAATGACTGTAAAGAGTTGTGGAATTTTCCATCATAAACATGTAGTATATTTTTTGTGTGTGCCAATTATGAATTCATAAGCATTTTTTTGCATTTTCAATTTGCTAATATTTTTTTAACTTCTTGTAAATTATCTCATGATGGTGTAGTATCTTTTCTCGCAGTAATTTTAATTTTTCGTTATTATTTTTGATTAATTAGAATGATTCAAATTATTGTTTCTCTAATTACAACTATAATAGCAATCTTACAATACAAAAGATGACAGTAATTTGAGTAAATAGTCAATTAACTGCAGCATAAATGTATTAGCAAGTCAGTTAGTGTAAGTGACTGCGCAGCTAGTTATTTTAGTATTTATCTATTTTGCTGAGATCCAAATTCAAAAAATAAAGAACAAATTTATTTTTCAAAACTTAATGACATATTTCGCTATAAAAATTGCCTTTTTTGTACAGAAATTATAGAACTATTTTTGTGCTAAAAAAAGTCTGCTGTTCGCGTTGCATTTATCTGTTCAAGGCAAAAATGTAAAATAAGAGCAGCAAATATGAATGGAGAAGAACTAACTAACTATAATGGATGTTAATTGCTAATAAATCAAGAAAATAGTTCAATCAAGAAATGCAAGATATCCTTCAGGTCAAGAGCTGAATTCCAATTAATCGGTCAGGTCAGGGGTGTTGTGTTAGGTCAAGAGTTGCATTCCATTGATAATTAAATGAATTTTTCACATTGCAAATGAAACGTTAACCTTTTATTTTAATGAAATAAATATATATTAAATAAATAAATAAATAAATAGTTTCCTAGAGTAATAATTCAATGAGTAAAAAGTGTGTAATGCTTCGCTGTTATGTTATTAATTACCAAATTTTGTACTCATTCAAAATGAATTCAATTTTAGCCATTTCGATAATTAAATAAATTATTCTCTGAATCACCTGACCTGAATTTTGAACTGTTTGAATGAAACTGACGTAAAAATACCTGCATTGGAGGGAAATCGCAAATAATAACGAGAAAGAATCAATTCTCAAAATTGGGCCAGTGCTCTTCTACTTTATGTGAACGTATGAAATGATCGCATTAATTTTGTTATCATTTTTCGTGAATGAAAGTTTGTTCTATCTTTCCTTCTTCTGAATTTGATCTCTTCACATAAACTTAGACTTTTTGCAACACATAATATTTATTATAACTGTAGCAAAAAAAAAAAAAATCATATTCATCACTTTTGTATTTTTATTGTACTTAAATTATATTACTTAAAATTTGGCAATCAATTTGATCAATGCAACTATTTGATCCATTTATAGTAATTAATTAAATGTGTGCTTTTCATGAGTGGATATATTGCATATAATTTAATAATCTATTTGATTTAACTTCAGTTATCGACTAAATCAAGCACTCGAATATTAAATTATTGACTACAGTTAAGGTCAATAGTTACTGAAGAATGCATTATCAGTATTATTATTGTTATTATTATTTATTTTTAACGATTATTTTTATTGCATTTGAGGAAATCACTACATATCCACAAGTATGCCTTCAATTGTTTATCAATACCTTTTCATGTAATTAATGACAAAAAATATATTTTTGTAGATCAAATTTTAAGAATAAAATTACCATAAAGAAATAAGTTAAATTTACTACAAAGTTTCAATAAAATTGTGCTTTGACAGCGTAGCAAAGAAGTGCATAAAACTTTGAAAAATGTGGAAAAAATCGCAGCTTTCTTGCCTGATCCAGTAAGTCGCTCGTTTTTAATTCACTTTTTTTGCAACTAATTTACAAGCAAATACTACCGAATAACTTTTCATCATTTCAAATTTACCAATAACAAAAATACCATTTGGGCATTTACATACTTTCAATCATTAAATTTGACCTTTTGTTTAAATTAATTTCATTCAATAATTACTTGCTATAAAAAAGAGTTAATTATAGCTTGCTCGATTTATTGGCGATTCTAATCTAGTCAAGATTGATGAGGATACGGTAAATCCCTGATGTTTATATTTTATGTGCTAATGAATCATTAATACTGCTGGATGAAATATTTGATGACATTTTGAATCTGATCAGAAATGAATCGCTACAAAAAATATTCCCATATCATCGAAAACTTTTTTCATTTCTGAAATTTAAAATTGCAGAACAAACAGAATTCCATAGATACATGCTTGTATATCATAAATATAACTGTGATCAAATATTAACTTTGTACAGTTTATTAAAGTTTGGACTAAATAACAAAATAATACCAACTCTCAAATATATTTATTATCCTTATGACAAATATTCTTGCTATTCAGTCAAAAATAAGCTAGCACTAAAGTAGTTCAATTTTCATCACTATTTTTACCTTATTTGCCTTCACTAATAATAATCTCCCACTTTATTCTTAACTAATCCAAATATAATATTCAAACATATCTTCTCACGTTTTTGTGATATATGAGTAAAATTTTGAGATATGTGAGGATGATTTGTGTAACAACCGAGGAACATGTATTGGTACTAAAGATTCTAACTTCTGCATTTGTAAACTTGGTTATACTGGACTGCGTTGTGAAAATAGTTCGTTTTGTTATCAATTTTGATCATTTTAATCACTTATTTTATTTGCTCCCAACTTGCAATTCATCAAATTTAGAAATAATCAGTTATAAATCCAAATTGTTATCGTACCTGAAATTACCTATTAAATCAGATAATACTCTATCATACTTCCAACAATAAAGTGTCAGATAGTTTATTTTCAAAATTTATTTAGCGAACTTTTCAGCTCCTTGCGATTCATCTCGAGACTGTAATGGTAAGGGACTATGTATTGGTACATCTAGGGCGCATTCTTGTGTGTGCCAATTAGGTTTCACCGGTGAACACTGCGAGAACAGTAATACCGAATGATCCAAAATCCCAATTTATAACTTTTTCATTATCATTCCAAGAATTATTTACTTGTAATAACTTGAGTATTCTTACGAGATAATAAATTAAATGATAACTTTCGGTGTAATCACATCTGTTCATTATTAATCTGTAAGAGTGTAATTAATATAGAAGTTTTCGGTAGTAATACAAGCTGCAATAGTTATTCAAATCATACAATATCAAAGATTAACTAAACGCAACAAATTTACACATATACCACTATTTGTAATCTTTCAAACATATTAAATATTAATATCACTCATTATATCTGCGAGCAAAGTATCCCATTTAATACAGAAACAATAGTGAATTAAGAAAATTAGATTAAAAAAACCACTACATACTTACACTAGTATGCTTTGCAAAAAGTTGAAAAGGCATAAAAATGTCCTGAAACTGAATAACTGGTAACTGGAAATGTAAATACAGCGGTAGCAAAAAGTTATAACAAAATGTATATTACATTAAAAATTTCTGCCAAAATAAACTAATATCATGAAATCTAAGAACAGCTTCTACTTACTTTCCAAGTATTATCCTTGACAAAACATCTCTTCACAGCTAAATGTACTAAAATCGAATAACTGATAACGAAATGAAAACACAAAACTTAGAAATTACGCTGTTAGCTTTCACAAAAGTTTTGAAAAAAAAGGTACTACTTCGCATCTACTTATGCAATACAGTTCAGTAATACGTAGAAAATTTGCATACAGTCTTACAATTAGCGTAATTTGTATACATGAATTTTCACGATTCTGCGTAGAATAGCACAGATAAAAAGAATAAGCATAACAAAAATGATAAGCATGAATTTGCACGTAGCAAATTATTTGAATAACAGTGTTTATAGAGTTGAGTACTGCGGAAGGAAATGTTTTGATAAGATTGCCTGAGATCAAAAAATTAAAAATACAAAAATACCTCTCAGATTAATCATTACAATAGAATTTTGTAATCCCCAACAGTACTATTATATCAATATTTATATAATATTAAAACTTGCATACATGAAAACAAATAATAATTAGCAATGTAAAATGAATTATACAAGCATATTACTTGATCACAATATGGTTTTGTTGCAGGACTACCGTGATTTGCATTAGAATATTTATTCCGCACTAACTAGTACTACAACAAATGTTGCTCATTACGACAGCAAAATTAATCGATCGCAGCCGCAAAATCACTCCTTAGGTCATTACTATCATCATTGTTGAGGTCAACATTGAGCATAGAGAGTCTAACCTTTCCTTTCTGCTACTTTTATTCAAACATTTTACTTTCGACTTCGTTCCTGTGCGTATGTTATTATTCTTGTAGATTTACGTAAATATTTTAATATAATTATTACTGAACAAAAATTTCAGATCACAATATTCCACCTGGAAGAGTAGTAAGCGTCTTACGACAAAATGAACAATAATCATATGGAACAGAAAATGCCAAACAAAAGAAATATGAATCCTTACAATAGACGAGGTACTTGATAACACTTCTGCCCTACAATAATGCACTCAGTCACTCATATTTCACTCAAATTTCGTCAAAATTAATCCTTTCACTCAAAACTAACTTCACACTAACTACTGCACTCTTAAGTAAATCACTGGCTACTACTTCTCAAGCTAAAATATATATAAGTCAATTTCTTCTCCCGCTAGAAATTATTAAAAACTAGAAGTATTTCTTATAGCTTGCATTTAGAACAAGTTACTAACTCTTATGCCATAAACTATGACTGAATTAAATTTTAAATTTCAAAATTTGTTGAAACTGAATTAAATGAATGAATATTCAATGATAAAAACTGTAATCACTTTTGATCACTGATAATTTCTGCATTTGTTTACACACACACTGTACTAGCAGTTTTTCTCGAAGTTAATCCAAAACTATCATTAAGAACAAATTTTGTTCTTTGCCTATTCTGACGTTTTCAGAAAAATTATTGCATGCAACTGTAAACGAAATTGCATAGAATGTGACAAATTTTCAAATTTAGGCATAAAAGTGTTGAGGTCTTAATTCATATTACAACCATTATCAACTTAGCTACTATAGTCTCTCTTGAGACATGAGTTTGTGTACTGGAAGAGTAACAATATATAACGGACCGCAACGACCGTAATTAATTAACACTGCTAAATTGCTTGTCACTAGTCATTAAAATAATGACAGGATAGTGGATAGTGTGGGATACGGAGGAGGTCAGTAGGGGTGGGGCGACGTGAGTGAGGTCATTTCTTGTTGTAGTGAGGACATTCTTCAGAAATAAGGCGACTAGACAATGAACAAACATATGCTTTCAATTCATCTGGAAATAGTCTATTTTTTTTACTAGTATTGATTTCCAGTTAATAATGAATATGAATATGAATATGTGGAACTTTTAGCATAAGCATAGAATGAAGTGAACTGCAATTTAAACTTAAAACTTACAAAGTTAAGTTATAGGAATGGACAGATAGCATAAGAAATTTTTATGACCTTAACAGATGGCGCAAGTTATTGGGATCTATCAATCTTTTCCTCAAACTATGAGGTCAGTGTTTAAAAAAAAGTCGAGGATTATAGGATTATCTATCTCCTGTAACCACAGATTTATTCCATCTCATCGGCCGTAGTACTTAAACATAACAGCCCGATTCACGCTATTAACGTCTTGGGATTCTGCTCAGTAAAAGAAGTTAGGTTACAAGTACTTCTTGCTCGCACATTTATCACTACCTCAATTCTAATCTACAACACTGCACAACTACGACTAGTAGCAGATGAATTAGATCTAATTTTTTTTATTATTATTAACTAAAAATAATTCTGAACCGCCAATTTCACACATATCAAGTTGTATGAATGCACCAATAGCAGCTGTTTGGTGCAATTCATGCAAGTTCATTTGCGCGTCTTATCAATACAAACTTGACGTTAATCAGTTTTATTAAATATTTTAGCTTTCAAGTAAAGTGCTACGAATTCTTAGTTAGAAAGCTGAAAACAATACAATAAATTGCAATTACATTGTTCAGAAGCATCTAACATTACTGAAAAACTTCTGCTCTATGTACTAAAACAATAAATTATCAGGAAATAGTGTTCTGCAACAAACTGGTCTCTGTGAATGGTTCCATTACAGTTTAAGTATTATTGATGATAAAAGAATAATAATTTCTGTGAAATAAATGTGAAAGTATTAAGCAAAATGATCATTATTGAGTAAATTTATAACACGTCTATCAGCACATTCAATCTTTAGCCATCACTGCATGTCTAATACTTGAAACTGGATTGATTCCAATATCAATCTGAATTTATTTAACAAAAAAGAACGAAGAATTTGAATTGGAGATTCTGCAAGCTTTATATTGATAACATCATAGCAAGATTAAGACTTATTACTATTTACTATCAGTTTAGCTAAGATCAACAAGCAGTGACTGATTTAAGTATGCATTGTTGACTGATAGATGCTTGACAACAGTTTATATTAAATAAAGAAATTAAAACAAATTAATGAAATTAATTAAGATTAGTACTTTGAGTCAATGAAATATTCAGAATTAAATATATTAATTATTATTTAATGGTTACTTAAATAATAATTAATATGTCTAGTCAAAAGTGATAAATAAATAGTATATGACTTTTTCATTTAAATAATATTTTTTGAAACAAAATTATTTATAGGAAGGAATCGACGGGCACATCCAGCACAGTTTCCTCCGTATGCACAGTCATTGAGAATTTATCCATTTACACAAATGAACATGCTATCTCAACTTGAAAGATTCAGACTACCGAAAGGTTAATCGTCAATTAAATTTAATCCATTGCTACTTTAACCATATAAGGGTAGATAAACTCTTGATAACTATTCATTTATGTGAACACTTTTTTGTTCATAACTGAAGTGATATAGTAATGAAAATTAATAACAAGTTATTGATTACGTGATAAGCTAACGATAATATTCAAATCCGTTTTATTCTCATTAAAAGTTCAGAATAAAAAGTTATATACTAATTTTAACTTGTATTCTTATTTTCATTTAATGAATTTAAGGCGAATTTATAGATTACACTGAAATGGCCTAAAAATTTTAATCACACATTAGTCACTATTTTTAATCTAAGAGCAAATTAAGACGGCTCATGAAGTTAAAGGTCATGCTAGAGATGAGCGCAATTACCGTAACAGTTTTGTTGTGAGAAAATATAATTCACACACACTTTTTCCAGAATAGCATTGCTAAATGGTGTTTTGCGGTCGTTCTTTGCTCCGTATTGATCAGAATGAATCTGTTGTAGTCAATTAAATATGGAAGTTTTAGAAAGAGTCTTAAATTCGTAGTAGACAAGACTTGCTTGGGACTGATTCCTTAATCAGACGTTTCCATAAATTGTCTGATTATGATTACCTTTTGTATGTACCAAATTATTTGCTGAAGTTTACATTTCGTTTATAGCTTTACATACTGACATGAATAGTTCTTCGCAATTTTATTTATGTTCCCTTAATTTGGCTTGTTATGTCTTGAATATATGAATTAAGTGTTAATCAGAAAAGATAATTTTTTACATATAAGCTGTAGATCATGATTTGATAAGTTCTCGTGATGAGTTTCAGAACATATGACAGTTTTCAACGGGCGGACACCTACAACGACTGCAACAGTGACACCGTCGGTAACAACAAGTTCAGCTGTTTCCGCTACTTCTGTATCAGCGGAGGAAAGAGCTCCAAATAATTGTAAGTATAGCAGCCGTGAAACATCAGATGCTGCGGAAGCAACGCCAGTAAATATTTTGGACAGTAATGTGGTCTTCCCAGTGGGCAGCGTTTTGGAGTGTCGCAGTGTGATGAACTCTACAACTGTGGGCCAAGTGATTTGCTCAGATCATTCTGCTCGACTTCTTGCCTTGAGTTTGTGCCACCATTTTGCATTATTTACTTTTTATTTTTGTGTTTGACTCTTACTTTTGATAATGTATGCAGATTTATAGAGACCAAAGAATGAGCTTATTAATTTTTCACTGCCAAAAATCTTAGGTGTAAAAATTATTACATAAAAATAGATTAGAATGTTTAGAAATATAAAGCTACCAATTCTTTATATCTCAATGCATCATTTTGAGAAGTCAGTATATATATAGTTTCATATTTTTCACTTTTCAGCTAAAGCTTGTATATAATATTGTTGCATATTCCAATTTTAGAGGATACTTCTGTTGCTGATGAACCTTCCATACGTATCATCAATCTGGGGCTTGTTTCTCAGGTCGGTTATTTTTACAATCAAGTTTTTTGCAAATTTATTACGTTAGATTTTTTATGGTATCAAAAAATGTTTTTTCTCACATAATTGCAAACTCATACTTAATAATTTTATTGTTCTTTGTGAGAATAATACGAATTCCACAATCATTCTAATCCTTAAGAAATTCATTCATGAAGTGAATTCAGAAAATTTTATTTACTAGAAGTATGTGTTTCTAAATCAAAATTTCTTTCTTAGTTTAGGTTACTTCTTTGCAAGAAAGTGATGGTAAGCAGGTTTCACCTCCTTGGTCAAGTGTGCCAGTATCAGTAAAACAGGTACAAGAACGCTTGGAGCGTGCTATAATCCGAAAAAAGGCTTCTGTTATGCAAACTAACGTACCAATTGAGGCACAGAAGATTTTTATTCATCTCAGGAAGACGTTTGTTTCCGCATCAGTTAAATTACAATTGTAAAAAAAATCTGCTTCATCTTTTTTCGCAAATTTTTCTCCTAATTTTGATGCACTTTATTTATGGAGGAGTTTCTAGTTCATTGTATTAGAAAACCAATACAAAAATGAAAAGTTTACTTCTCGGCATTTACAGATTGGAACGTAAAGTAGAGTGGTCAGGGAGCAGTATTAAAATTCTTGATCGTGTTATTGTAAGACCACCATATACAGCTGATTCAGTTGAGCAGATTGGAGATATTAGTAATGTACCAGTTAACGCGACAAAGGATCATGTTAGGAAAATAGTAAGAAGTTTAAGGAAGCTGTAGGTTATTTATCCCTTTCATGCATGCAGTGTTCATTATGAGAATTAATCATTTTATGCTTGAATTTTTCTTGTATTATCGATTTGTTTGTGACAGAAATCTAATACGCCTTTTGGTATGCTTGCTTATAATTTGTAATAATTATTTTTTTAAATTTAAATTAGTTCTATGCAAATGAGCACTTCTTAAAGTTGGTTTTTAAGACCTTTTTTATTGAGCAACATAAAAGCTATGAAGAAAATTACTCATTGTAGTTTCATTTCACAATTCTCACAAACTTTGCACGCAATTATAAATTTCGCACTCACTCCTCTCAAGTTTGATCATTATCAGACTTTAGAAATATTTACTAGTGCTTTAATTATATTTTTGCAGTTGACAAAGTATCGCACTACTTTGCAAAGACAGTCTCTAAGTGATGATGCACCAGCTGATCCCAGACCATCCCGTTAAAAACGTCAAAAGCTAGTGAAAAACACCTTGTGATACTTTTATTTATATCTAGTAGTGCATGTATTCTGTTTGAAAGAATGTCAACGAGTCCTGCTTCCTATCATTGAAATTTATTACTCTTAATCGAAAAAGTTGATATTTAATCAGTACAAGTTGATAAGTGATGAATTCGGTCTTTCTGAATATTAGCATGACTTATTATAAAGTTTTTCATGTTTTTAACAAATTTTTTTGAAATGATACGAAAGTTAATGTTGTTCACATTAAGAAATATATTTCATATTTTTACTGCGAACGGTAAAGATATCTGAATGATGCTCTTGTACCACTCGCTGAATGGTAATTGCTTACTATTTTGATATGAAGTCGAAACGGTGGCTATCCTTACATTTAAATTGGTCCATTTTATCAGTTTGTAATCATGAAGGTTCGTTGTGCATTTCATTATATGGGTTGAGATCTATTATTGTGGAATGTTCTGGATGTGTTTTGTAAACCAATTTCTTGAGAATATGTTCTTGATAATTGTGACATAATTGAGAATTTGGTATTACAAACTGGCAAATAAATGATCATTACTCTTAGAAGCGTATGACAGTTAATATCCGATGTTCATTGCAGTTGTTCTTTAGGACACGCATCAACTGATGACTGTAAGATTATATTGTGATATTAAGGAGATCAGGAAGATATCAGTGATGGGTTGACTGTGGCTTCGTATTGTCAATCAGTATTATTATCTTAAATAATGAACTAAAGTGGTTGTGATGTCGGACAGAGTTGGCGTTGTTTTTCATGAAGACTATGTATGAACTAGAAGTTGCGTTTCAGTTACAGTTAGGATGCTCTATGTCTTTTGAGTATTAACTGCGCACATAAAGGTGGAAATATCTGACAAGTATCATGCAATATCGCATCAGACCATTTGAAATCTTTTCAGATTCGTACAGTGGGGTATCGGTGTTATCTTTAATATTTCTGTTCTATACTCTCTATACTCCTCCATTATTGAATTAATTGCGTGAAAATGGTTGGATTTATGACGCTAATAATTATGAAGATTGAGAAATCTCGGAATATATTTATTCCTTTCATACTACTGTCAATGTTTACTTGATATCTATTGCATCCGTAAAATATATATATTATTACATTTTAATAAAAGTAGTAATTCCTGAAGAAACTAGGGTAGAAGTTTTTATTTTCGTGTTTTTTTAGAGTGTATCATTTAATTCTGATGATGTTGACGATGATGATACTCCACAGTTATCTGCTGAAGCCATGCATGCATTGGCAGAATTCTATCTTGAAATGGATATGAGTAGTGAAGCTAATGTTGAAGAAAATTGGCAGGTTTAGTATGAATTAAATCCAAATAATATATTGAATTTATCAGATTTACATTTTGAAACATTTGAAAATGATACAGAAAACTTGAATATTTTATCGGAAAATATTTCTGTAATGCAGTGGTGAATCATAATCTTTACAGTTCTGTAAACATTTTATACAATCTATTTTATATTTTATACAGTCTTACTAAGTAAAAGTTGTACGCATTAATATTAGTCAAAATATGTTAACTTTATCAAACAGAAGTAGTAAAAAAGATCATTTTTCAACTTTCAGTTGAGCCAGTTTTGGTATTCTGAAGAGACCGCATCAAAACTTTCTCAAGAATGCACAACATGTATTGGTTACGAAGGGAGGATTGCTTGCATATCATGCCCAACGCTTCTTGATCATCTTTTAAAATATGATGTGAGTCAAATTGACCATTTTCAGACTTATTTATCTTACAAATTGTGACAAATTTCAGTGTATTGCATCAGGACGTGTGAAAGTAACACTTTTTGAATATGATACTCGATTTGCTACTAAATTTCCTGAGGAATTCGTCTTCTATGACTATCGAAAACCTTTGGAAATACCAGAATTTTATCATAATGCATTTGATTTAATTATTATTGATCCACCGTTCTTGTCAGATGAATGTTTAATTAAAATTGCACAAACAGTGCAGTTTTTATCTCGTTTCACAGGAACAAAAATATTGGTTTGTACAGGATTGGTTATGGCAGACCTTGTAAGTTTGACTTAATTACATTTTTGTTTCAGTAAAACTATTGAGTTAATCAGATTAAGACTATTCTAGTATTATGCTATTTAAAATTTATAATTGAAACATTATTGGCAGTTTTATCTTTGATCCAACGTTTGAATTAGTATGTTGTTGGTTTTAATATCATAAGTTTTGGCTTGTATTTTGTTTTCCAGATGTTTTTGCTATAGTCTTGTCATATTTTTTCTTTGTTAAGTTCTTAGTTTCTAAAGTTGCAATCAGAACAATTTCCTTGTTTTGACTTCTTTTTATTTTGATAATGCATTAAATTTGTTTGAAATGATTTGCAGGTCAAAAAATTGTTTAATGCTCATAAATGTGAATTTCGACCTTCGCACAAGCACAATCTGGCCAATGAATTTGTCTGCTACGCTAATTATGATGTCGCAGTTTTATAACGAAAATTATTGGCGTATAATGTGATAAATTGTTAAATATTTTTGTTTTTTCTTTACGTCCTGATATTCTGTTCAGAGCTTGTAGTTATTACGGATCTAAAACAGGTTTTATGGAACAGAAGAAAGCGTAAAGAAGAAGTATGAGAAGTGGTGTTGTGAACTAAAATACGACTGTTATCAGCAGTTTTTTTAAATATTATATGGCAAAAAAGTGAAATGTTGGTTTTCATTCTTCTAATGTTTAAAAAACTATTATTGTCTTTTGCTTGTTTCACTGCTAGTGTTTTAGATTCTTTCTCTGGTATGAAGCTCATAATCTTAATTGTGTTTTAAACTATTCATAACAGTTTGCTTTTTGTTATATTTTTTCTTGTGAACTAATTTTACTCTGAATATCAATCTTTTAAATGTGTTACCTACATGCAGTCAGAGTATTTTAACAATTCCATTATTAAAATATTTTCGTTTTTTCGTTGAAAAAAGACTTGTTATGATATGTTGATGTGTTCAAAGCTTGTAGTTATAAAAATTATGGTAAAGAAACAGCGTCTGAAGTTTCAGATATTAACTGAAAGACTGATCTCATGGATGGATCCAAGAATTTATCTAATTTCTTGCTAAATTACATATCTTAACAAGAATATGTAATCATAGCAAATAGTTTGTAGACATCTAAACGTCAGATAATACTTGTTCAGCTTCAAATATCTTGTGTCATAAAAATGCGACATTTTCACTAGACTTAGGTCTGGAATAAAAGCAAGGCATTATGTGGGCAGAAAAGTGGAAGGAAATGTAATGCAATGAGGGAAAGTTTGTATTTGGTGTATAAAGACAGGGCAGATAATATAAGTAACGAAATGGTAGATGAATGAGTAGTCTGAGTTTCGTTATGAGGCAATTTAGAGTGCTTGATATTGTTTGTGTGAAGTGAAGTTGGTCAGTGTCGACGAGTTACATTTTGGTGAGACAATTTTTCAGTTCCTCATTTTCGCTTGATAGAAATTGAATATTGCATGTAATCGTAATATGGAAGTATCGTTTGTTATGCAATTTTTTAGTTAGTTAAAAGAAATGACAATTGTTATTTAAGGAATCAGAATGTTTTTAATTTTCAGTAATTGCTTCTTTAGGTAAAAAAAGAAAGTTTTTCTTATCACAAATATAATTGTTGATTATTAAGTAACTGAGATTTTTTATATTTTATCTGAATATTTGTTTATTTGCTGCGACATATCGGTTCTGACAACGAATAGACTAACTTTAGAATTTAACGTAATGTAAGTAAGATATTTGCAGTTCTCTGAAGCGAACTTTAAATGGCTCGGAATGGACAGAGTGCTTCATGGTCAAATGTACTTTGCTGTCGTATTTGTGCAAAGGCATGTTTTTTTTTTCCTTGAAATTTATTCGGGATTGCTTACTTTGTCATATAAGAAAATTTAGGATGGACTGAATTCTGTCAGTAGAGTGTGCTGTTTGATATCAGGATGCTTAGGCATTTTGAAAAATAATCTACTTACCTCAGAAATTTTTATTACGACGGAGTGGAAGAAATGTTATACATTGTTGAATCTTATCGTGTATTAACGTAAGTATTAATTTTTTTAGTTTATTAGTTGAAGTAGTTTAGCTATTTGTGTTGTGTTTGACTTATTCAATTTTTATCAAAGCATTTGCAGGTTTTTGATGCAAAAAGATTACCAATAAATCTTGCTTGTGGTCATACAATATGCAGGCCTTGTTTACAAAAACGTAACATTAGTGATTGTCCTTTAGATCAGGTAAATTACAAAGTTTTCTAGAAATTTGATATAAACTTGATATAAGTTTAAATCAAGCAATTTTTTGCAAAATGAACTTGACTTTAAGTTCTTTGACTTGACATAAATCTGTTTTATTATTTCTGTTAATCAAATTCAGTTTTCAATTTTTCAGACTATAACTTCGATTTCCTTTGAAAAACTACCCATAAATCTAGCATTACTTTCTGTCCTACCAGGACTTAGTGAAGAAAAATCGAAAATGAATAGCGATGCCAGCGAGGAATATAAATATATCGAATCAATTCTTACTAAATTAGCCTCTTATCTCCATCCTACGGAATGTACTCTAGGTATTTTTTTTAGTTTTTTTTTAATCTCAGAAATGTTAGAACTTTAATAAAACCAAAGGATTAAGCTTACTATCATAATTTAAGTGAACAAGCATGAATTTCTTTGTGGTCAAACAGAGTCCAATTTTTTCAAAATTTGCATAGAATAAAATTAGATTATTTTTCACTAAAATATCAAAATATCGGCAGATAATGGGTAATTTGAAGGAGGAAGCGTTTGGAGTGATGAATTAAGCAGAGCAATGCAGCGCAAACTTATATCACTACTATGTTACCAGTTAATGGATTTCAAAGGTCGACAGCTTGCTCTAAAAGCTGCTCGTGCCTTAGCCGAAAGAGCTGTTTCAGAAATTATTATTTATCATCAAGATAACACTAGTCTCTCTTCAAATCTTTGGTCTGCTGTTCGCTCTAAAGGATGTCAGTTTTTAGGTCCAGGTAAAAAGTTACTTCTGAAACAGCTTTTATCTCAAGAATTTGCAATCCCAATACTTTTTAGAGTATTTTACAATGTCATGGTGATTACTACTTCACTTTTATTTGATGATAACTTTAATCAAATTTATTGATAATACTTCAAAACAAACTAAAACTCTAGTAAAATAATATGAAAGAAAATTTGTAATAAGTTTAACAATTGGAAATAAAAACCGTCAGCAGTTTTGAACAAACTTTAGTAATGTTTTTGATTGAAGCAAAATTTTAAGTTATTGAAATAATGATAGTATTCGAATTGAGAATTTATTATAGCAATGCAAGAAGAAATTTTGAAACTTATATTATTGACACTTTCGGAAGGTTTTTCAATGTCTCGTAAAACGTTAACACTCTATATCGTTGAAACATTACGTGATGATTATCCACAAGTTTCAAAAACTTGTGTGGGCCATGTTTTACAGTTACTTTATCGAGCTAGTTGCTTCAATGTAAGGTATTTAACAATTGTTTTTAGACCTAGTGTTTGTATCCAACAAAAATTTTCATCGCGCATCTTTCTGTAGTAGTTCAAATCAGTTGATAACTTTACCAGCGTTGTCACGATTTATTCGCTGACTGTCATTCAGTGATAAGATTTAGGACTTTAAATTTAAATATTTCTTTTAATCCGTCTTATTTATTATTTATATCTTACTGTTGTTTTGTGCTTTACAATTCTTATCAAATGCTTTATAAGTTTTATAAGTGAATATTTCTAGAGTGTTATTTTTACTATCAAATATTGAAATTTGTAAATTTATTATGCATTCTTGGTGGTAAGTAAAAAAGTATTAAATTTTTTAGGTATTAAAACGTGAAGGTGGATCATCACTGATGCAGTTAAAGGTGCAGTTTAGGAATTATGATGCACTGCGTCGTGTGCATGACACTCAGATCGTGCAGGTCGCTTTTGAGCAAGGCTTAAGATTATCACTTGATCAGTGGTCATCATTACTTTATGGTGATCAGAATCACAGGTCATATATGCAAAGTATTATTAATAAGGTAAATGATTTGAAGTAGCTGGAATGTACCAAAAATTGCTGGTAACTGTATCTAAAATTATTGATAAATATTAAATATATTTCCTTACTAGATTAGTGTAAGTATCGTGAATAAACATCGACATTTATGCTCTAAATTAACTGTTTTTGCACTGAGTTCTGTAGAAAATTTAATCTTCAAGTGTCGAATTTAAGCTGCAGTCGTCTAAGTCTTGGAAGCAGCAGGTCAGCGATTTGAAAGCAGCAATAAAATATAGTTCTGAACGCGAATCATTGATTCCAGTAATAGAACATTTTAAACGCTTTGCCGATTTTGAACCTTCACATGGTGAATTTTTCTAGCAGCAGATAATCCTACTTTATTAGTTTAGAAATTTAGTGCATAAATATTATTTTTTTTGAATTCAACTGCTTTGACATATTTAATTCAATTGAGAATCTGGGTGCATTTAATCATTCATTTTATTATTTAGAATATGATCGTCAAAAAGTTCATAAAAAATCCAAAACTTTTTTGCTGCTATTAGTTGTTATTTTTTGCCTAATATGAAAAAAATGGACGCCATTCAAATGTTGTGAATAAGTATATCTACACCATTTAAATGTCATGCAATACGTTTGATATATTCTGGATCATTTGCTTTATCTTAGGATCGCCAGACTGGACACTAGCGATGGATTTATTCGACTCTTTGCTGTTCATAGTAAAAGCATATGTAAAATATATGAAAAAAAGGTAGTTTTTGCCATTTTTTTAAGTAGATTTTAAGTTTTTGCAATACATTATATCCTAATTAACAACAAAACTACGACTTCTTGTTGATAATAGTCACATGAGTAAGTGATCTGACCTACCACTCCTTTACTGTCGGGTTTTCCAAGTCTTTGTTCATTAGTTTGTTAGTTTTACTCACATCATTTTAGGAGTAGTGATAGATATATTTCTTTTAAAAATACAGTTGCAATGGTAATGGCGAAAGCACAAGCAAGCAAAAAAGACATATGTGAGTGTTGAGTTAGCCATATAGTTTAACTTCTAAGAAATTTCAAAAAATGTAAAACTGACTGTTTGTTTTTGGCTGCAAGCTTTTTATCAAAGTGTTTGATCATAATTTAGGAATAGAATGCAAAACGTGGCATCATCATCAAAAACTTTATCAAATGTTTGCTCAGTACCTTTTCCACTGCACTTAAGAAATCCACTTATTACTCAAGTCCCATACGTTGATGCAAATATTGAGCATGGAATTGATCCGTTGTTGTTAACATCATCGGTTAACTATTGGAATCGTAAGTATGTTTGATAATCTACCAGCACTTGGTTGTCAGTATTACTGTTTGAAACTTTTCATATGTAAAGAACGTGTTTCAAGATGCTGAAAGTATTGTTTGCCTTTTTTTTTCAAATTTTTTGAAATCAAAAAGAATATAGAGCATGCATAAAGCTTTCTTAGCCGCGTAGGAAAATTGCTCCATTCAACTGCTATGTGCAATATTTCTATTTTTATCAATACTTAGTGTCAAAGAATTGAAATGCTGAAATAGAAAAAGTAACAAAATAAAATTGATGACCTTGGATTTGTAGCCATTAAACTGTACTCATCGCTCTGTCGTAAATTCTAGTGTTTAGCTTCAATTTATAATACTTTTCATTTTTTTTACTTGACAGTGTTTAATATTTGATTTGACGTTAAATCATTTTTGTGTAGTTCGTAAATGTTATTCAAAAAAGGGTTGTGACATGCCATCGTTTTTAACACATGCTGGTATGATATCAACTATTCATGTCAGTATTATGGTAGAAGAAAATATTGGATATCCAAGCAGCTAATTAGCTCATTATCAGCTTCTGTTGTGATAAATGTTCATTACTTGTTATTTACTTCCATTATATTAAACAAACTGTGCACTCGTTTTAAAAGCAGTGATCTTCTTTTGTGTAACCTTGTTTAAGGTGCTTCTTTGTCACATACTTTAACAATAAACAGTGATCCGATTAACAGCATAGTATAAGTATTGTGCAGGTGAGTGATGGAAGCAAGAGCAAAGAATATGTATCTACTTATTGATGTCAATTTTGATGCTTCAAGCACATTTTCAGTAATGATGGCAGTATTTTATTTTTGTCCATCTTTTCATCTTGTAATTAATTATATTTGCTCTTTGCCTGTTCATCACTCTGTACTTTTTGCACATAATTGGTACTGTGGCATATTTTAACTTTTGTAATAAAACTTTATGATGAAGATTTATTACAAAAATGAAAATATAATTTATTAATTGATTTTGTATATTTTTAATGACAGTATTCAAAAAATATTGATGAGATGATCTATGGTAGTAAGATGTTAAGTGAGAAAAATTGTGGATGAAATGTGAAGAAACGCTCAATTATGCAGTGCTAATATCCAATCAATGAGATTGTTTTTTCAGTATATCGCTTAATGTTTATTATCTGATATTTCCGAGTATAGAACTTATTAAATTAATCGTATAAGTGTATCAATTATTTGTGCAAAGGCAATAAAAATTTTAAATGCTTAATTATCTTATTTTGTGAAGTTTATTCTTTTGATAATTTATCTTTGTAATGTAAATTTTTGGAATTGAATCGCATTATGTAGAATGTCATGCTGAGAAATTCTGGAAGAATATAAAGGAATGTTTGTAGCATGCAGGGATTCAAGTGATGAATGAATGCTGGTAACTGCATGAGATAAGAACTCAACTCATGTTTGGTGTGACATAAGTTGTTTTGTGATATTTGAAGAAGATTTGTTCTAGAATTAATTTGTGGCAGATTTGCATAATTTAATGCTTCGAAAATTGGTTAGAAATTAGTTTTTGGAGGGATGTCACCGTTTGCTGGTTTCACTATATGTGGAAAGATAGGTAAAATTTTATGCATTGTATTTCAAGAAATTTTTTGAACTTTACTGAGATGTCTGATAAAAAGTAGGTGAACTTATTTTGCTGCTTTTAAGGTAAAGCGTGTTCTGGATTAAGTGACGTTTTGCTTGTAAGACAGTTAGCTGATAATAGTTTGGCTGCATTACGAATATTGCCTTTGGAGAAAATGGATTACGATACAGTAAAGGTTAGTAGCAGTAGTCATATATTAGCATCAAGCAAGATTTGTATTATTCAAGACTTTGAATTCGTTATGCTTTATTTTTATAGTAGGCTTTGCTATTTTTAATTTACATTTGTCTTATCTAATAATTTTGTGGAATGAAAATGTTTTCAGAGAGAAGTATGGTTTTTGAAATGGCTATCTCATCCTTGTATTGTAACAGTAAATCAAATTATTTCTATTGGAAGTAGCATTTGTATCTTCTCAGTCTTATGCGATCTCTGTAAGTTTCTACTGAGAATAAGTATTTCGATTGAAACTTATTATTTGTAGTGTATAATTCAAACGAGCATTTCAAGTCATAGTATAGCTTAAAAATAAATATAAGTACTAAGCTTGTAAAATCAGGTTTATATCATAAATTTATTATATCTAATTGGAAATATTTAGATGAATTGTCATTGAGTAAAGAAGAAAAGTTTTTTACTCTAAATTTGATCAAACTCAAATTAAATACACAATTTAAAACGTGTGGTTATAATGCACTTCGACATATTTCCTGACAGTATTTCATACATGTTCTCTTTTCGTTATTGTAAAACGTCATTCTTTATGACTGATTATTTTATTTGCAGGTTCGGTTTTACATGTTGTGCATAATTATTATCCATGTGGTCTTCCTGAAAAAGCTATTGCTCAAATATTAAAGAATCTTTTGTTAGCGGTGCAATATTTACACGACCAAAAAATTGTTCATAGATTGGTTTTTTTCTTATATTATCTTTATATCATTTATGTGTTGAATGAACTGCTAAATTCATTTCGGGTTCTTTTGGCCTTATTGCATAAAAATTTATGATTTTACTATTCCTCCTTATAAATCTTCATTTGATATAAAGTTTCATTAACTTTTCAGGTCTATTCGATGCAGTCATATTCTACTCCATTGCACTGGTATTGTTAAGTTAACTGGTTTTCGTCGCTGTTTGTTTTTACAACGAAATGAACTTACTGGTACTGATAATGTTTTACACGATTTCGAATCTGAAATTTCGGATGAATTGCTTTGGTTAGCGCCGGAAATACTAAAACAGGTTTGTCAAAAAATACTAATGGGAGTAAGGGCAACAACTCACTGCAAAACTTCAATTCTAAAAAAACCAATCCTTCAAACTGTTTTTTTCCGCGCAGGAAATAAATCAATTATCTAAAAAATAGCTTTCGGAAACCAAAAGATTCGCCCCAGTGTCAGTCTCGCTCAAATAATAGAGATTGCAGTGGTGGAAAAACAATACATCCCTTTACTAATTATGTTTCACGTCCTTGTACTTTACTGAATGAAACAACTATAAATATAAATATAAATATGAAACAACTATAAATATAAAGGTGACCCTTCTCATTCGTTCTTTAGGATTTGTATGGTTATAGTTTATCATCCGATGTATATAGTATTGGAATAACAATATGTGAAATGGCGAACGGTTTTCCACCATTTTCGGATATGGATCGATTACGGGTCTTTTTTCCATTACATTTATTGAAATTAATACTGTGTTCATACCTGTAAAAGCATATCTTCACTTCATTGCAACGATTACATCTTTCAAATTTACAGATGCTATACGAAAAAAGTAAAGGAACAACACCTCAGTTACTGGACTGTACTACGCTTTCCGAACAAAGCAGTAATGGTGTGTATTTCTGGGCTGTGCTCAAATACTTTGATTATCATTTAAAAAATTTTCTATCATTTTTAGACGAATTAGGGCAGAATCGACTACAAAGGCAACGTCGACGTTTCAGCGAATCTTTACGCGCGATTGCTGATTACTGCCTCAAACCTTTACCAGAAAACAGGTGACTCTTTTAAGTAAGGACTATAGAATTAAACAGTTATCGAGATGCTTGAGTTATACATTTCTGTGAATGTACAGAAAACAAAAGATTTTAGTTGAAAATACAGCCTACAACATGAGGTTCTGCTCTCTGAAATTGGAGTTAAATATTATACTTTTTAGTGATGTGTTTTAGATGGTCGGTATCAAAACTTTTGGCTCATCCATTTGTGAAGTCAGTCAAAAAAAACCGCTCTTTTACATCCTTGTTGCCGCAAGTAGTGCGGATCAGGCCTTCAAGAGGTTACTTCCCTGCTTTTTTCATTTTCCAAAAAAAACTTGCTACCATTCATTTTTTGCAACATGTCGGCAACAAGTTTTAGCAGTTATCATGAGAAGCAGTTGCCATGTTCTGGTCACAAATCATTTTCAGATGGCTATCAACCATGCGGTGATTTCAATCATGATTATCTAGAACTTATAGCTTCATTTCAAGGAGAAATTAATAAAGTGTCCGACTTTGTCTACTAAAAGGTTTATAATTGCATATTTGTCAAGAATGCTTTGTATCACCATAGAGTAGTTTATAATAATGATAGTATTTGCTTAAGTGGAAATAAATAAGCAGAACACTTTTCCATAACATTCAAACCGAAATCAGTATCTGTTGTGGTACATCTACTGTTTATTTTTTTATACCGAACGCGTAAGTAACAAAGTTCCCGTATCAATTTTTACCAAAATACATTAGAAAAGTTGTTTTCCAGTATCATCACAACGATGAGTAATGATTCACATTAAATACATAACTGTACAGGAAAAGTGAAAAATATAGAAATGTAGCGTGGAACGCCGGAGGTTAGGAGCTTATATCTCCGAGGCTTTACTGGATTCCCTCTTACCCATGAACCACGTTTTCTGCTCATGCTCGTCAAATAATATCATCCAACTTACATAATCTCATCGGACATTTCAACACTAAAATCCCTCCATTTATGGCCAGTTATCTTAGACAAAAGTTGAGCTTATGATCATTTACAAGGAGTGAGCTAAAATCATTGCACTTATCTATAAATAATAGCTTTACAATTACACAATCCTCTATATAACAAAATTGAATAGGAAGAGTGAATATTCCAAAAAGAACCAGCTGTTCCATCAAAAATCAGTAATGAATTTAGTGACAAATCCAAATGACTACAAAATATGCATGATTAGGCGATATTTAGAAACTAAGTGATCTTAAGTAGCATATTTTAGACATTGTATTGAACAGATGAAACAGTTCCTTTCAGAATACGCGCAGTTCTTGAATTACGCATTGAGTACTGAAGGCGTCTTGTTCAAATTTTTCTGAGACAGAACAAAAACACTAATAAATTTTAGAGAACAGGCAACCAGCAACACAATGACTGAGTTTCTGGCAACTATACTTGCCGATCTTCATACAAGTCAAATTGCATGTGCATTGAAGTCAGCTTAAAATGAGCAGTCATCGTGCAGCGACGATTTACACCGCCTTGCGACTAATATCACAACGAAAGCAACTGAGCTTTAGCAAAATAATCTGGTTACAAAGTCCTGGTCACCTTGTTATAAACTCATGAGCTACTTAAGAAATCTTAACAAATTCTTAGATATGCTGATGTTATTCAAATAAAACACGATTTGCGGCATGCATCTCAATGATTTAATTCTATCATAAGCAATAAGGCTGTATGGACAATGCTGAGATGAATACAAAATATTTTATATTCATAATAACATAGATAATACCAAATACACAATTTACCAATACGCAAAACAGTGTCATTATAAAATGAAAATCTATGATACAGAATATACCAAGGAATTTTAGAGGAAAAATGTAACGTAAAATCTTATTGGAGAAAAACTACCTTTAATGCTAGATAAATCAAAGTTTCAACAAATAACGCAGCAAGAATTATAAGTTTTATTATAGTCTCCTTTGACTAGCAATAAGAAAATCTTAAAACTACGGCGGATGCAACTACAAAGAGAACTTAATGTACAAAACGTATGAAAAAGAATAGTTATTTCTCAAATACCGGTGTGAAATTAAAATCAAGTTATATGCTTGAAGCATACAGTGTATTTGAATAAGAATAAATGCTGGAAAATCATCACCTATACGAATGAAGCTGAAGCAGAAGTAGGAGGGAATGATCATAATTTTGTTGGAAATCAGATATAATGCGAATCATGAGTAAAGTAAAGAACATGCGTAAACTCCTCGAGTCTGAGATTAAATTTGAAAAACTCCATCGTTTTCAATGAATTCTTGACAAAAAAACGCATTTCAAAAGTATAGAAAGGAACAAATTTCTTCATAGTCACTAAATTCCAAATTCTTGATTCAAATAAGCAGTTTCAGACACGAAACTCGCTCAAAAGTCCTTACATTCGAACACAAATTGAAGAAAAAAAATTTCCTACTATGTAAAATACATCCGACGATAATCGTTTGCACCAAAAGCAGCATTACATTTTGGGCATTTGCGTCTCCTCGTCTCATAACGTGTCTTCATACATTCCATGCAAAATACATGGAAACATTTTGTTAACACAGCATCCTTTCGTCGTACTTTACAAGATGGACACGTTAAAAGATCCTGTCAAATATTTTCGACTTTTCAGACCGCAAAACAAAATGAAAAAATTAGCATTACAAAAGTCGGTCGGTCTTAAATGCAGAAGAGGAATGAAAAAGTTTATGGTAAAAATTTATATTTCATTTATGACCACAATGACTGAGAATTTTTAGACACTTTAAAATATAAACGCTACAAGAATAAACTTAACAGTGGGTTGTGATTATCAACAAAAAGAAGGAAAAAATCGTACTTTAAGTTCCCTTATTTCTTCATTGAGCACTTCATCCCAATTTTCCATTTTCTCCATTTTTTTCGCTCGTTCTAACTTCTTTCTCAAAACACTTTTTTCTTCTTCAAGGCGTTTGATTTTAAACGAATCTACTTCTTGTTGAGAAGTTTTCGTAGTCACAGCCTATAAACAAAGTTAACCTGTTTTAGTCTGCAAATTAAGATTAAAATTCATACTTCATTTATAATTTATATTAAAATTTTAAGCTGATAAATAATACCTGTTGCGCATCACTCAGTTGACTGCTACATTTCTCTAGTTGAGCTTTATAATCAGCTGATGTTTGTGAATACTCGATTGCCTTTCGCTTATGCATATCATTTGCTTGTTCGATCAACCTAAATTAGGAATTAAGCCGCTACTGATACTTGCATGATTTTGCAGTCCCACCATGTTTAAAAACCTTAACATGATACAACCACAAGATAATGCAAATATTGAGTACATATTTAAAGAATGAGTCGTAGACTTCAAATTTGATAAGAGTATCACAATTTAAAATGAAACGAGCAGTCTTCTTACCTTAATTGATGCTCCAAGTGCGAATTCTTCTGCCTTAAAAGTTTCTCTGTCTCTTCTAATTTTGATATCATAAGCTGTTGGGCTTCAATTTGATTCTGCAAACTACTAATACGTTCTTCTGTACGTTCTCTTTCTTCGCCCATTTTTTTCTGATATTGATTTGCACGAATTCGCTCGGCCATTAGCTTCAAATTCGCATCATCCTGTAGAACGGGAAAATTGCAAATGCGAGATTTTTGCTTTACAGAATCAAGAAGAAAGAATTATAAGCAAACCTTTTCCCTGAGTTGTTGTAACAATCTTGTATTTTGTTCCTGCATCTCTTCGAATGCTTGTCCTGTAGTTTCAACATCATTCATGAGCCCTTCTTCTTCTTGCCTTGCTGAATGTGCTTCCTTACGTAGGCGATCTGCTGCTTCTTCAAGACTTCTAAACAAATTTATGAAATCACAATTCATATGAGGTGCTCATTTGGTCAAGAAACTGGTAGACAAGCTTAAATGAACTCAGAAGTTAAAAGCCAACTTTATTTTTTTCTGTGCATCATCTGAATAATATTTCATTCTCTCTCGGTGATCTGCACCAACAAGCCTTTTAATATGAGACTGTAGTTTTTCATTTTCGAGTTTTAGTCTTTTCTCTCGTGTAAGCAACTGAAAATAGATAATGAACAATAGTCAAAACAGTTAAGTGAAACTTAAAGCTAATTCAACAATCTACATCAAATTCCCTTGTAATAGAACGATACGATCAATTTATATGAATTCACCTCGACTCGCTCTCTTTGATCAACAGTCAACGCATTTAAAGCGTCTATTTTCAACTGCAAGTCAATAATTTTCTTCTTCAGCTTCCTGAAATAATAGTATCATTATAAAGTTATTAGAAGCAAAAGTACCAAATATTAATTCTGGCCTATCCATTAAAAGAAATACTATCAACAGCTTTTTTTGGCATAATAAATTTATACAACGGTTTAAACTAACTGAATCACTCTATTCGGTTGTGTTCCAACATCATTATCACAGTCAACATCAGCATTACACTCACAACTTCCGCCATCATATAACGCTACATCAGAAGATCCCGTAACATTTTTCTCCTGATCTGGCGATGCCAGAGTATCGTTATCATCTTCTATTTCAATTAGCAAGCATCTTTCACGATAACGTCTTTCGCCTTCCAACTCTTTATTACACTTCAAAAAGGAGTAAGAATCACGTTTTCATATTATACTGGTATACATGCGACAAATAACCAAACTTAATGCTTCACATAAAAATAAAAATCTACTTTAGCTAATGAAGAAACTGCTTCTTTCCATTTCCGCTTGAAACGATTTGCCTCCTGCTTAAGCTGTTGGTTTTCAGCTTTCGATGATGCAAGCATCAAACGAATTTCCTTATTTAAAGGTCCTGTAATGTTGTCCAATCTAGATTTACATAAAACACTTTATTAAATAAAACAGTGAGTCAAAAATTACCAGTTTGTTCATTAGCTGAAAGATTTTGTTCAAATTCTAGCCGCAACATTTCATATTCTCTCCGTACTTGATACAATTCTTCCTCATGCCTATTCATAGTGTCCTGCATCTGCTCACGAGCTTGACACTCTTCACTCTAAAAAAAAAACTCTGAGGAACCTACTAAATAATGAGGGAAACAAGATGTAAACACATAAAAGTTAATGACATCTACAAAATTTGCAGTAGTTTCTTGTAAAAGATCTTTCAAAGCTATAGATGTCAGTACCTCCATAACTTCTATCTGTTTAGCATGAGCAGCGCGTAATGTCGCTAAATGGCACTTCGCAGCATCAATCTGTTGCCTTAAAACCATTTAAAATAGTGTTTCTAAAGTTTTTTCAGATATTTTTTGAGAGCAATTTCCCTAATTTTGTCAGAATAAAAAATTTTTAATTTTAAAATTGAAAATTCCGATACAGGAACTAAGAAGTTGAAAATGCTCTTTTTGTCAGATGAAGGAAAACTGCAAAATGTACATAAATCACCTCATTTGATTTGCTTCCACGAACAAAGAAGAAAATTGCGACTGCAAAGTAGTATATTCGATAGAAGTCCTGATAATTTCAGTCGGAATGTTTTTCAACTGGAAAAGGTTTATTGCTGTATTTTCAAAATTTTAAGATGAAAATTTCGTCTCAATACTGTAATTCACACATTAAGTTTTCATTTTAATATGGAAATTCTTACATTCATTTTCAAGTTCTCCACTTGCTTTGTCAAACTCTTATTTTTATCAAGCATTTCCTGCAATTCTTGTAAACGTGAAACGGCTAGTTCAGTTTGGACTTCCAAATTTTGCTCCAGTTCTTCTAGCTGAAACTCAAAAACTGTCAAGACACACATTTTAAAAAATAAAACATATGGGTTATTCATATAGCAGCAATGAAGAAAATACTATCTATTGTACTTCAACACATACGTGTCAAACTGCTCGAAAACAAAAGAAACAAGATGAAAACAAACAAATAAACAAATTCTAGCAAACAAGATCGTTATATCTACTTGACTATGTCAAAAAACACTATCGTTCACAAAAGTAGTGATTATTGTAGTCGAAAATATGCCAGAGCACAATTTAAAAATGAGACCTCTTTATGATGTATTTCTCTTAAAACAATTTTCTTAAATCGAAATGCGAAGTATATAAAATGAAAACAAACAACTTACTTTCGATTTATTCACACTAGTTGTTGTGGGTGACTCCGCCTTTGTATTATTTGCGTTATTATTTGGGCTACGTAGAGTTGCTGCTTTCATCAAACTGATTTCCAAATCGTGCGTCTTTTTAACGTACTTTAACAAAGTTTGTATTTTGATGCAATGAACTGATACTATCTATACTAAAATTGACAAAAATTAATCAATTCAATACACGAAAAATTAGCCCATAGAACTGGTTCTGAAGCCACAAGCTTTTGTAAATGTTATTCTAAAAATAATGAAAAACCCGGAAGTATACCTCAGCAAGACGAAAGTCAAGTCTGCATTCACGACGCATGGCTTTTTCTAATTCATACTTCATCTCTTCTAAATTGCTATCCATCTCTTGTTTGCGAGTGTCCATTATTGTTAATCTATCTTCTTGAGCTGATACCTGGAATCAAATGCTAGTTTTATACACGACATCCTACATAAAGCAGCATGAATATATCGAAATCGCAAAGTCACACTTTAGATGAAAGACTGTGGGTTTCCGACTGAAGTCTGGTGATCATCTTTTGCAATTTCATATTTTCCACACTTAATTCTGCATTTCTTCTTGCCAGCATAGCATTGACTGTTGGTTTTTCGTCAGATGTTGAAGCTCCTATATGAAAAGAAAAACATTATAAAACAGATATCATCATTTATACAAATTACTAAAAGCACAATTTTCTGAGAAGTTTCGGTTTCCTTTATTGTATAATGGTAAATTACAAAATATTTCAAAAGTTTCCACACCTACGACTGTTTCTGCAAAAATAAAACGAGAAACTCAAAAAAATTTCTACATAACACCTAACAAAGTCAATTTCTAACTACATACCATCATCTGTTGCCTCATCTGAAGTTGGACATGATGATATCATTTCCGCAATTTTTCCATTTCTCTGTGTGATATGATCAAACACTTGAATGAGTTTCGAAATTGCTCGACGACTGCAACATTGATCGTATAGACTTTGCAAAGTATAAAGGAATTTCTTCAACTATACATCTAAAAGACACTACGACACACTCATCAAGCAGCAAACAATTCATCAATCTCTTCATAGCATTACTTACGTCACGCTGACATACATGAACGATACCAATGAAGTTTCTCTTCTTAGCAAAATAATTTGAAAAATCAGATTATAAAAGCACTACTGAAAAAAATTAACAATTTCATCTGCAAAATACCTAATCCACAAAAATTGTGCTAACCTGAATTCTACCCGTTGTTTTAATTTTTCTTCTGCTTCACCATCTTCCCAATGAGCCAATTTTGCAAGAAAACTTTTAGTTTCTTCACATTCCACTAAACATTTCATTACATTACGTCAGTAACAAATCAAAGTAACTCCTTAATGACATTCACTAAAGTCATTACAAACAAAACACTACAATTAAAATCTTTATAATAAATGAAAAATTGTTGAGTAGCAGCTGATTAGAATATCAAACATGTGACTGCATTTTGAAAGACTTTTTCAATGCTGATTATGACGTAAATTAATTGTGGCATCCTCAGTTTCCAATATTAAAAAAAATTATTACAAAAACATAGTATTACATAAAACTGAATCGTATACTTACTTTTAATCTCACCTTCCACAGCTGTTTCTGCATCAAACCTTTGTAACAGGGTCCTGACATTTTCATCAAACTGAAAATAAGTGAACGACATCTTCCTAGATAATCAACATGTATATAAGCTTCATTTATTTGAGAAAAACGTTTTTAATTGATCTATTTATATTACAACCGTGAAACCCATAGACTAAATAAAGCATCATCTACATGAAATTTACGAGCTGCATTAACTCCAAATAACTTGCTATGCTCTAACCAAGTTCCAGAAACGATTAATCGTACACATCATTGCATCATCTTGAGCTTGCCGACTTTCTAATTGTTCGACCCGGTGCTGTAATTGTGTCGTTTGTCGTTCTTTAAGACGAAAACGTTCTGATAATTTATGATGCTGAACAGCTAGAACTTTTGCATCAATATCGCTCTGAAACGTTTAAAATTCTCAACAAATTTAAAATGCAAAGACTTAGAGCTATGTCATGACCCAGTTTTATATAGAAATATTGCACGTCTTGTCTCTATTTCCGAAAACCAAGTATATATTCATGAAAAATAACAAAAACCTACCGTCCCACTAACAGAGCATATCCGTACAGGTTCAAATTCAACATGCCTCCGCTTGTTACGAACTGGCTCGTAAGCCGATGCACTAGGTGAGTCATCGTCGCTCTCCGGAGAAGAACGTTTGGACATTTTTTTAGCAATCTGAAGAATATAAATTGTAAACATGGATTTTGCTTCGAAGGCACGAAATTCTTTAGTAATCACACCTCAAAGTTCCAAAAAAAACCGATAATCATACTTACTACTCTAACGAGTAATTTGTTTTGTATATGACATGATTTTGACTCTTATTTTTAAAGATGAAACGAAAATTCATGTAGGATAGACTGCCTGACACTTAAAATATATCAATCTGACAATTATATGGATACAGTGTAGTTCTACTTCTATAATTTTACTGCAATATGACGCATGTACTGTGTTCATACATGTTTGTAAATGCTTTGGTAAGCATAATTAGAACTGCATCAATCAATTTTTAAAGCCTGCTTGTACTGTACAAACCGAATACAATTCCTCAAATTTTGCAGATCTATCATTGAATAAAGTGACTGCTGAAAGTCTTATTAAAATTAGAGACATTTTCGTAGTGCAAATGTTTATAGCGAGATTAGAAAAGATGAACTTTGTTTTGTGTAAAATCAATTTTTCTCCCATTGGTATAATAAGATTTAGCAGAGACAATTTCCTACAGAAACCGGTACAAAAATGGTAGCAATAAGCGTCTGCGACACTTATTATTCTTATAACTTCTGAAAAGTTTGTGTCTGTTTCTTATATATTTACTGCAAACAGTTATTGACAAATACTACTGAATTGTAAACAAAAAGCAAAGAAGTGCATTACCAAAAACTATGCTTCAATCATGTGAATTGCTTCAAAAGCAGTAAAAATTGTCTGTTCCTGAATCGTATAATATAGTTCATAGACGATCAGATGACTGCCTACGTTTATACTCTGAAAACATGATAACAAATTAAATCCAATAACTGGAACGAAACTTAAACTGTGATGATTTTACTGCAGAACTTTTTGAAGACAATTTCCGGAAGCAGCAATACTGATCAAGCACTGTCTCTTGCTTTAGACATCACTTCCGAAAAAAAGTCTCACAATAAACTTAAATATACTTGATACTTTTTTCTATCACACTTCTGTGTTTTTAAACAATCACTGAAAAGAAGCGGCAGAAAAAATTGAGTGTTAAAATGTGATACACTGATGATGTATCATTACATAATTTGCTAAAACGTGCTAGCAAGAAGTAAAAAGCGTGAAAAATATATAGTAAACACATTTCTACACAATGTATATGCATGCACAAATAAGTGCGCAGCCTTCTTTCTGATATGTGAAATGAATTTTCGTTAATCTATGGAGTAAGAATTCATCACTACTCCAAGATGAACAAAACTTGCAAATGAAAAATCGATCTTCAAACTACAATCTTCAGTAGCAACTATGCTGTCAATCACAATACTATTTCGTAATTCACGTGCTATTTCATTTAATTTATAAAAAACTTGACTTTCACGCTATGATTTTCACGCAAATGACGCATATACAGCGATGCACTAATTTCGATAACATATATACAAAGAGTATAGATAAAATCTTTATAATCAATATATATTACTTTTCAATCTTTATTTCAATTTTTACGGAATAATATTTTTACGGAATAATATTCGTTTCTTTGCCCGTAACATTTAATTTTCTTAAATTACACTGTTATACTTTTCCATAATTGTCACTGCTTTATTTTACGAGCAAAATCAATCTAATCGTCAAGAAATGCCAAAAAGTCTTCTAAATACTTGCAAAAACGACGTGAAATAATTAGTAAAATAATAAAATTACTCTTTCAAAAGTGGAAGTTAAGACTTCGACAACATAACACGCAAACTTCTTGTACCTACACATTAACCAGTGATAAAAACTTTCCTTATGCATAGCTTGTTATTTGCTTCCTTCAAACTAATTCTATCGTAATGCAGGCAATCTTTTTGAGACATTATGATGCATCAAAGTTCACTGATTTCCTTGCAATCAATAATTCATTGTACAGCACTGGTAAATATCTTGTCTTAATTTCGAAATTTGTTATTATTAAAGTTCGACTTTTCGAAGTATAAGTTCTTTTATATCGACATTTTTAGTTATTATTTGCTTTATTCAGAATACATTTTTATTTTCATCCACGTTTACGACGTCATGTAAGTGCCTCATTGAAGTGATAACAAGTAATATTTCATTCAGTATGTAAATTATTTTTCGTCTGCGTTAAATTATCTCGTTTTCGTCTAAAATTATGTAAATTTTATGAGTTTCAGTTATAAGCAATGTCTATTTTACTAATTTTTGAAGATGACGCATCTTACTGTTTATTTTCAAATTTGTCAAAATATCTTCGTAGTGATAATTATTTGATTTAAATTATAATTAATTCATGATGTATATCATTTATTATATTTGTTCTTTAAGTATTATTGCAGTACATTCAAAGCAGCAGTAATTTGTAATTGCAGAGGAAGTTTGATTCTAGATGTGTGCTGAAGTGGAGAAGAAAAGGATATTATTGGAAGGACTAAATTTAAAGACGTCTACAAACGATATCGAGAGATTTTTTACAAGATGGGGTCCTCTCTCTGAATGCATTGTATTATTTGACAAAGTAAGCATCTTGTTAATGCATACAATTTTAACTTCTGAATTAATTGTGTTCCTATTGCATCCAGATAGATACGTTCTGCGAAGATTTTCAATCTAATGAATCAGAATTTATTTACTGAATGACTAAAATTTTCAAGGAGGTTATTCGTGTTCGAAGTATGTACAACTTTTGATTTATGTGTTTCTTATTATCCTCAAGTTGTTTTCAGAAAACAAGTCGATCTCGAGGTTATGGATTCATTTGTTTCGTTAGAAATTGTCATTCTGAACAGTGTTTGGAAACACAGCCACATACAGTGGATGGTGTACAAATACAAATGCGCTTAGTAAAAAATGTTAGTAAAATTTTTTTGATATGCATGATATTGGTGATAACATAGTTAAGAATTGGCCTATTAACAAAACAATTTTTTGCTGTTGTGGAATGTTATTGATTGGCATTTTCTTTTCTAGACATCATCAAATCCTATCGCCAAGTATTTACGCACACGAACAATTCTGGTATCATTTCTTGGTGCTCAGCTAACAATCAGTGATATTCAAAATTATTTTTCAAGCTTTGGACCAAACAATGTTGATTATGTAGTGGATCGTATTACTGAGGTTTTTACTTTCATGATCTTTTTATATTCTACTATTGAAATGTAATGTTCAATTTTCTCAGCTAAACTTACAACGTAAGTGCTTATTATGGTTTGTAGATGGTAAATACGTTTTGGAAAGGTAGATCGGAAATCACTTAGAACTGCCCATTTTGGTTGAGTCAGTATTCTGCAGATCATTTTTCCAATGATTTCAGAAGACGTTATATTTTGCTTACGTTACATTTGATGAGTCAGAATCAACTGAATGCTGTGTTAATCTCAAAGAACATTATATTAACGGCCATCGCATTTTTATTCGAAAATTTATTCGACAGGAAGATCTGAAAAAAGCTGAACAAATGGAACGTGTTAAAGCTATTCATGAAGCTCAAGTTGCAGCAGAGTTAGAAGAAGAGATTAAAAGGAGGAGGATATATTTTAATCAAAAAATATATGATGATTATGCCATGAAATTAGCGTTGTTGCACCCGCCTCCTCCTCCATCACTTCCTGTTCAACCATCAAAGAATGACGATAAAAACACAAAATTATCCGCATCTACGTGGGTGCCTTTATTGCCAAATAATGATTTTCAACATACTGCTTCGTACCTTGCTGGTTACGGTTCACGACGAGAAAGTTTCAAGCAGAATATAACTTTTCAAGGTGATTTCAATTCAGTTAATACTGAGAAAAAAGTGATTGTTGTATAATTTTTTGAGCAGTACTCGCCTTCAATTAAAATATTTTTCTGTATGCATAGGAATTTAACTTTGGATATATGATATGGTAAAGAGAATTAAAAGGACGTAGTGATAAATTATATTTTTTTTACTGTAAAAAGGTTTTGAAAATTGGATCGTTTGCAGAATCTGAGCGTTTGAAACATAGTGGAGCTACAGCATCACAGTGGATTCCTTTACCACATAAGTTCCACCAAACTCCTCTTGTTGGGGAATACCGTGAACAGAGTGAAGAGCTGAATGATAAGTCTTGAAAACTCGCTCTCCTTGTACAGGATGTTTTGGCTTTGAAATTTGAATTGTTTCATATTTAGATGTTCAGTGATCACATGTTAAAATTTGCTAGAATTTCCCTTTTTGTATTGTTTTTCTATTTATTTTTGTAGTTTTAAACAAAGAATGTTCATAGTAAGGTTGCTGTTTTCGTTTGCCTGTAAAGCACATTATTTTATAAATGGAAATTTTTTTGTTTATTTCTTTATAATTTAATAATGAAGTTTCATAATTGCGAATTTATAACAGTCTTGCACAAGATAATTTCATTATTCTATAGTTTAGCAAAATCATATAATTTCTATATATTTTGTCAGTTTTAGAAAAGATTAAATAAAAGAACCAGATGCATGGTTTTGCTAAACTTTTCTTGAAGCCGAGTAGCTCGTTTTTTGTGTAATGTTTCTACGTTTCAGAGTTTAAAAATCAGAAAAAGAGTGAAATACAGTTTGTATACTCCCCAAACTCTTGTTTGGTTATTTTTATTACCTTTTCAGATATCTTCGCAGGCAATTGTGAGCCTCTTCTGGGCACAATTGGTTGTTCGTTTCTATCCTTAAATTACGTTTCTTAACGTTAATGATTTTATTGCAGGATCTATTGATGGATTTTGAAAAGGTTGCTACTGCTCAGGTGTTTGTTCCTTTGGAATGTGATATGGGACATGCATTTTTTAAAGTTTGTGTATTTGTATATATTTTTTGAAACTTTTTTTATTATGTTGAAAGTTAACAGTTCGTTTGAAAATGCTACTAATACGACTATTTTTATGAATATTAGTAAACTTGGTTAACTAATTTTCAGTACAAATTTAATATTTTAGAAAGTATTAAAAGTTTCCAGATTATTACTTTGTGGAAAGAGCAATGTCATACTGTTAATAGACGCTTATCTGGCACTATACTTGTGCCAGAGTATGATCGAAGGCGTGATGAAGTGCTATTAATTGCAGACATTTCTTTACAAGATATTGAAGTTTACAAATTTTTACCAAAATCACCTGCTATTTTTTCATCTTGTGCATATGAAATTTCTTTTTGGCTAGGTATGTATACTTTTAAAGAGTATGAAAAGAACTAATTTGTATGTCTCTCAGAAAGGTCTGTGATTTTCGCAAATTTAATATTTTAGAAAATATTAAAAGTTTCCAGATTTCTTTTCTGTTAGCACTCCTAAAAGTTTAGATTCGAAAACCATAGAATTTCGATCTGTAGTACTGGATGGCAAACAACACCCTCACGTTCCTATTCCTTATCGTTTTGCTTTGGAAATTATGGATAAGGAGTGGTTCGTACTTAAATATATTTGTGTTCTTCCATTGAGTCCATTTTTTTCTACAATAGTGAATAGCTATCAGCTACACGCGAATCTTTTTTTAGGTATATGAGCCTATACATCATGAAAACCAGAAATTGTCAATGGTTGCGTGACATTGCTTTTCCACGCCTCATAAAGTAAGCTATGTTATTCTCTTGTACTGAATGACGAGACATCCCTTCATGATTATATGAATTCATTGTGACTACATTTTGAATAACATTTCTAGCTTCATTTAGTAGAAACAAGACTTGAAGAAAAATTGACACAGTTCGTTGTTATCAAAGTTGGGATACTCCTGTTTTATAGGTGGTTCAGTGTAGTTAATAAGCAATGCAGTGTAACTTCACACAACTTGATCAGTGTTGAAGATTACTCTCGAATATATCAGGATATCAAAAAAAAATGGGGGCAGCAAATTGCCGCAGTATGTTCTCTTGTTATCATTTATTGGAGGCCTTTTTTGTTTCTTAATAGATATTGTGTTTTTTTATTGAAATTAATGCTCGCTATAGGAATGGACTGAAAAAACAAGCCCACAGAAATTTGTTTATGAGGATTGCGCTATTGCAGCTTATCTTATCGTAGGTAATTTTTTTGTGTTGTTTTTAATATTCCTGAAATAAAGCAAATGGTAATTGGTTCATGTCCATCATATTAAAGTTTCAATTGAGTTATTTCATTCAGCTAGTATAAAAATATGATTCAAGGCTTACTGGCAACCTTTTGCACCTCGAAAATTTTGTGATGTTGGTTGTGGTAATGGTCTACTTGTACATTTGTTGCGGAAAATGAAAGTAAGTTACAAGTACAGGTGTATTTGTATATAAAAAAGCGAATGGGAATATTTTTTTTAACATATCGCATCCATCTGGTTCAAAAATAGTGCCATGAATTCATTGCTTATAGTGCAATGGTTATGGAATCGACTTAAGAAAACGGAGAGTGTGGACAAGATTTGTAGACACTGATCTGCGAGAAAAAACGCTAAATCCTGAAAAAGATGTCATAAATGATGCTGATTTTCTCATTGGCAATCATACAGATGAATTGACTCCTTGGATACCTATTCTAGCAGCCAGGTTAATATGTGATATAGTTTTTTATTATTTAATTTCAATTGCGAGCAAAAATCTTCCTCTCTAATCTAGAAATATTTTGTGATCTGCAGCGTATATTTTTTTCTGCATTATTTATTAATTTATTCTTAAAATTTCGAAGCAATCAAAGTCATTATATTAGATCCAAAAGTGATTTTTTCTTACTGCCATGCTGTCCTTTCGATTTTTACCATCGGTTTCAAAAGAAACGAAGAACTGGTGCTCCAAGTTTATATGCTTCATATCTTTTATTCATTCGTAATATCTGTTTGAGGTGAGCTTTATTCATCTAAACATTTTTTTAAGTTTGTTTATGAAAATAGCGTTCTTGTTTAACTTACTCGTATTTAAAAAAAATGATGGTTCTAGACTAGGTTACTGTGTTCGAGAGGATCGGTTGAAAATTCCTTCAACCAAGCGTTATTGCTTCCTTTGTACAGTACCTGTAGATGGTTTAGTAAAAAATGTGGATGATGTCATTAATGAACTGTTGACATCAAGTTTATCTGAATTTGTGCCACGAGAAAAATTTGAAAAAGTGAGCTGTGTTCGTTTCGTTGTAAATCATCTGGATTTTTGTTGAATAATCGCTCTCTTCAAGACACATAAAAGTTCCACGTTCTTTTCTCTTTGTATTGAATAGGTAGATTTGCCTTTTATTATTTTATCAATGTTTTATTAAAACATTGTATAAACTATTTCTTCGATCGAAAGAAGAATATTATTCACATATTATATTATATTTTTATTTTCCATTAATATTTTTCATACTTACATGTAGGTGAAAAACTGTTCGCAACTTCCTTGGAATTTTCGTCAAATGCTCATAAGTAAAATAGTCAACTACCTTCTGGAATCATCACCGATGAAATCTACAGAGTACGAATTAAATGAACAAATTTTATTACTTTGCTGTGTTTAAAAACTTGGTATTGGTAAAATTGTAGTCATTTTCTCTCGATGTTGAAGGCTTTGGCGCAAGGGACAACCACATCCAATAAAACAGATTGCTGTTATACTTGATGAAGAAGAAAGAACGAACCTGCGAGATTCACATGGTGGTATACAAACATTTCTCAAAAACCAGCATCAAATTTTTCAGGTGATTTATGAAGTATACATCGTCACTATTATTAGTGTTAGTATTGACATTCTTTTTTATGAGGGTAACTTTCATGACATTTCAACTCAAGACTTTTCTGATTGTGGTTATTCTGAAAACAGTCGCTATCTACCGCAGGAAAGGTTTAGGTAGTTAAAGGCACTGTTTCAATTCGTAATTGGTTGGAAGAAGGAAGAAAGAAAGTTCCTGGCAAAGAGAAGACAAGTGATTGCTGGTTTCATAAATATTACCCATATGGTTGCCCTTTACAAGCTGAAAATTGTTCTTACAAACATTGAAACTCATCATTTTCTAAACACAGATGTGCTCTCAACATTCTAGTTTTAATATCAAGTGAATATGCAAGCAATTTTTCCAACATGAAGAAAGGTTTATTTGTTCATTTATATCAGTGTCCATTGTTATATTTTTACACTTTCTTTCATGAATGTAATTAAAGATGAATGATAAACAAAAAAATCAGGTGGCTAAAATCTTTAGTACAGTACAGAGAACAATTTATAATTTATGTTTAGAGATTTACACATAATTTTTTAAGTGTGAGAAATAATGAGCAGCTTTCTAAAAAATTTTAAATAAAGATATCAGAACCTAATCATAAAGTTGAGATGTATGGAAAAAGGCGAAATACAGAGTTAGAGATAGATGTGATTTCAATAAATTTTAGTGGTGGCTTGTTGATATTTATATGAATGTAATAGCACTTAGAATGGTGGCTGTTAAGCCATTATTTTAAATGCTATTTATTTCCCTCTGAAATACAATATTTGTATGAATAATGTATGTAATGTTTATAATACATACTATCAGCTTTATAAAACTGCTATGCTTTATGAGACATGGTATATCTTCTAAAATGTGATATTTCTATAAATAATTTCAAAAACTTTTTTTTTTGTGGAAACCAGAATCTTACTGGAATATCCTATTTAAGGTGCAAGGTCCTACAAAAAATATGGACCGGGCAGTTCTGAACTTTCACAATTTCCATTTTTTTTTCTAATACATAAGATTATCAAGTGCATAAAGAAGTATTTACCGTTGTCACAAAAAGTAATCCAAGTGAGTAGATTAGCAAAAGATTAACAAAAATCCAGGACCTTTTGAAATTTGTTTTAATCTTAAAAACAATTACTGTTTCATTAAGTAACAAAAATGACGTGAATTGCTATATTTTATAATGCTGTGAGACTTAATTTGATCACCAAGAAATGGAATGTAGCGTTGTGATTCCAAAATATTGAGTTCTTTAATACAAGTATTGTAAAAGATAAATATTTCTACCACAAAGGAGAAGTCGAAATTTTCAAGACGAGATCTATGGCGAGATTTTTGAAAGTTCAAAGTGATGTGTCACTATCAGCAACAGTATCTGCCGCCTCATCAGCTTCCACTTCCACTTCCACTTCAAGGTTATTATTACTTCTTTCCTTTTCATCTGAATGCCCACTTGAACGAAACCTGAAATTTCATTAAAATCAATTTCTAGTGATTTTTTTGAAGTTGTGTGCTACATTTTACCTAACTGAAAATAAATTCCCATACTGTTCATTTAGTTCTTTTTTTTTTAATTAAAGTTTTATAAAGTTAATCCAAAAGCATTACCAATTTCAGATACTTTTTCTTACGAAAGGAAAGAATATTTTTTCTTATCGGTAAGAATCACAACAGTTTTTGTAAATGTGAATACTCAGTTCGTGCTGCAAACTGTCAACATTTCTAATGTATTCTTTCAATTAGCACAAAAGCTTTTTGTTTAGTATAAAATCTGTACAGTCTTAGAAAAATTTTACAAGCGTGGAGTTCCCTCATCGTCAGCGTCATGCGCATCATCGAATAACAACCTTTCTGTACAGCCATCATTTTTCGCTAAAGAAAGATAAATTATCGAATTTTTACAATAAAATATAGCATTACATAATAAACTTTTTACTAAAAAGAAAGAAGAATATTGTAAAATTGAAAGAAAAACCGATGAATGTTCCTTCAGGAGTATAGATGGTATCAATATTTTCTCGAGTACAACGATTTCGACCTTGTTCTTGATATAATGACACGAGTGATCTCGTCATCAGATCGCTATCTGAATTTATTTTACTTGAAAATTTTAATTAAAATTAGAAGAACCTTCTGAACTGTTGCATTTTTCAAATTTTTCCTTCTGCTGTAGTTAATATGCATATTAAAGTCAGTTTTTTACAATAAATTTCTTAAATACTGCAATACTTTTGAAAAAATAGATAAAAGTTCTCCCTAAATATTATGAATAACATGACAAAAAGATTTAAATAAATTGATCAGTTTGAGATTAACTTCAAAGGTTTTAAACAATAACTGCTAATTTTAATTTTTTCACAATTTGAAAAATAATAATAATATGGTACTGAGCTATAAAAATAATTTTTAAATTAATTAAAAATGTGGAAAAACATTTAAAAATACTCTTAAGTACTTTTCTACAAATGTCAAATACAATTTAGTTACGGTTTTATTATTTCATATAATAATTTATAATTTTCACTTTACTATTAAATTATTTTATGTAAAGAGAAGAAATACACAAAAAAAAATTAACATTAAATATCGCTATCAGTGATGTCAAACGCAGTACTTTTAATCAGTTTATCTCTAAATTTGTCAAATTGAAGTTAAATTAGCTCAAAAATTTACTTATAGTGGATTGGTCAGACGTTGAAGTACCGGGTCGTCGTTCACTACGGTACAAACGTGTTGCACGGAGATGTGATGTTACTGGTGTTCCATATTTACTTTACAAAAAATTTGAATATACAAGCTTTAAAACAAATATGTTATCAATACACATGATTACTACCTTATAAAATATCAACAAATTCATTTCAAATATTAATTAACTTATAATTTTAAAATCCCGAAAGTGTAATAATATGAAATATTTTTTGATTAATCTAGCCTTAGTTATGAATACTTTAAATCTAGCCCTAATTAGTAAATATTTGCACACATCAGAAAAATTATCAAATGAATTACTATGCATAATTACAAAACGTCAGCAGCAAATATTTACAATTATTAAATCACCAAAAAAATTTTAGAAGTAAACTACTTAAAAAATAACTAAATGAATTATTATGCATAAAATCAACATTAATATCTGACTGATTTAGTAAATTTTCTTTACATTGTATGATTAATTTTGCTGGGCTCTCCTTCTGATGTTGAAGATTCCATTTCTTCGATTTTGTATCTTAAAAGATCATTTTCTTTCCTTACTGATTCTGATACAACAGCCTCATTTCTGGCTGAACGCTGAAGTTCTTCGAATTTAGCCCTTAGAATCCTAAACATTTCTATGAAAGTAATTAGAAGCTCAAAATTTTATTTATTCAATCAATCATTACAAAGATGAGTTAGCACTTTTCATAAATAAATCAAATACTAAATGGATATTTTTTTTGAAATCATTCGTAGCCTGATATTATCAATTCATACTTTAATATTCTATCAAATATTTTCTAAAAAATTAAGATATTTAATTATATACATATCAATACTTTATATTTATTGCATTATTTTGTTGAAATTTACGATAATTTTTAATATTAATTCAAATTTTTTTAATTTATAGAATTAATTTTTTAAACATAACAAAACAAAACGAAGTGCACTAGCTAACTTTTCTGTAATATTTTTCTGGTCGATCAAATTCTTCATCTCATGAACTCGATGCTTCAATTTGCTAATGTCAATCTCTTTGGCTGGTATGTCGTCTACTTTTAGTTGCAACTTTGCATTCAGATGTCTCAGCGTTCTGATTTCTGTTGATTTCATTTCCAATGCAGTATTCAGACTGCTAATCTCTTTAGATAGCTCCTAAAATTGAAACTAAAAGAATTTTTTTTTAAAAAGAAAAGCTCTTAATTAATTAAAAAATAGTATCGGATATATTCAGTTTTTTTAGAACTTTTGCAGCAATAAATCATTACTTAAAAAATATTCATTTCTTTTAATTTGATACAAAAATAAATCAAAATTTTTCGCTTAAATTACTTTTTAAATGAATGAAAAATATGTTTTTGATGAAAACTTGCAGCGACTTTTTCATTGGTATCTTTGCTAAGAGTTGCCTCCAGAATTTTTTTATCTCGAATCAATTCTTCTACAGTTTTTTCAGCTTCTGCTAATTTACTATCTAATGTTGCGCATTGAATTTGATTCGATCTGTTTAGCCGTTCAATTTCAGTTTCAAAAATGTATCGCTGCTCGTCTAATGCTCGAGATAATTCTTGTTTACATTCTGCTAACTGCAAAATAGTTAATATGTAATTATTTAATTGTATTACTATAATAGTTAATTATACAATTTATGTATTAATTTAATTATTAGCATTCTAACACATACAAATTCAATTACAGTACTTATTAATGATACTTATTATACTGAAATATTACTAATTACTACAATCAAATATTTCTATTATTGATTAAAATATTTGAACATTTCAGGAGCAGTGAAAAGTTAATGCAAAATATTTGTTTTACAAAAATTATGACCAACAATCTATTTAACAATAAAGACCTCTGATCAATAGCAAGAAAACAGTAGTGGGAAATAAAATTTGCTCATAAAAAGTAACGATAAAAAATAAATAATAGAAAATAGCAAAAAAAAATTGCAGATTGCGAGTTGAAACGATTATTTGATCAAGAAATCAAAAGGTCAAAGGGTTGTCATGCAATGCATAAAAGTAAATTTTTGCATAGCTTATAATAAATAAAATAAATTGCGATTAAAAATTGGAAATTTTAAAAACAATTAATGTAATTAAACCTTTGATTGCACCGATTTTAGGCCTTTCAACGCATTTATCTAACGCAAATTTGAATTTTTTACACAAAGTATTACTTTGCTTTATTTTAGTTCCCAAATTTGCTCTCATTGCCATTCAAACATTTATTTTTGTTGCAATAAAATTTTCATCATTTCTTTTATTTTTTTTAAAGGAAACTTTTGATAATTAATTAACCTTTCAAATACTTTTCTTTGCAATTACAATTTTTTGTTACTTCGATCATTCAGTCAGTTCAGGAAGGTTTGAAAGAGTCAACACAACAAATTCTCTCACAAAACTTTGAGTAGTGAAGAAGAATTGAGATCTTTCAAGTACTTCTCGTCTTCAAGTATTCTTCTCTAGATAGATAGATAGATCGATAGATAGATGGATAGATGGACAGATGGATAGATGGACAGATGGATAGATGGATAGATAGATGAATAGATAGATGAATTTTTCAAGTATTTCTCGTCTTCTATTTTAGTTTTGATTAAAAGCCAATAAAATTTATTTATTCAAATTTAAATTTAAACAATAATTTGCATTTAAATTAATGTCTATAAATTTCCATCAAAAAGGCATCGGCTTCTGAATTTCATTGATTCATAATATAATATATACGCATAAAAAACTTTGTACAAAAATTGTTTCGTACAATATCTGCACAGTTTTTCCGTTTGGACTATTGCTTTTATTGCAATAATATTTAATTGCTTCATTATTTTATTTTATTTGGTACCTAAAATGTCACCTGAAATAAATTTGAAAGCATTTAATATAAAAAACTGACCAGACTAATTTGATGCAGAACTGATACTACCATATGTAAAATGTAAAATTGATTACATTTTTAAAAACAATTTAGTTTGAATAAATATAACAATTTTAGGATGTATTATATTTACATATAATGCGAGCAGTAATAAGAACAAAAGTGCTGATAGCGATGATGAATACAAAACTGATATTAGTAACAAGAGTATCAGCACTTAGTCTAGAACAGAGTAAACGGAGAGATATGTATGCATGCTCAGTTTTCAATCAGATAACAATTGGTTCATTTCAAAAGTGTCATAAATATTTCCAAACTAAAATATTTACAACTTTGTTTAGCCTTTTCCTTGGCTGACCTAAATTGAAGTAATAATCATGTAGTATCGGGGATAAATTTGTACACAGATAAATAGATAGATAGATAGATAGATAGATAGATAGATAAATTGATTGACTGATTGATTGATAGATGCATAGATAGATAGAGAAATATATCTCCCCAAACTACATGATCTTGCTTAAAATTGTCATTTCATTAAAATTTGTTTGAAATTTTTGATATATTTTTTCAATTTAACCTGACATTTTATCAAAAAAATTAGTCTGAAATTAAAATATTACAAAAATTAAAACAGATCAAATGCTAGCTTATAATAGATGCATTGTTAAATTTTGATCTAGCGGACATACATTTTAACATGAAAAATAATTATACGAGCAATAGCAATACGCTTTGAAAGAATATGCGGTCAAAGGTGAGAAGGAATAAGCAATAAAAGTAACGTACAAAAATGACGTGCAAAAGTGACGTACCTGTTTTTCGTACTGTTCCTTGAGCACTTCAAGCTCCTCTGCTTGTCGATGACTTACTGAAAATAGAATGAGAAGAAGGATGAAAATAGGCACGGTAAGAACTGATGAAAGTAAAAATGACGTAGTAGTGCTGGTAGTAGCAGTCGTTGCTATCAGTGCTGTAGCAGTAGTACAAAATGACAACAAAATTAAATAAATTGTTATAGATGAAATTAGCGATATTATTATTAAAATAAATGGCAGAAATACAAACTTGACAGTCCTTAATCGTATAACTTTAGGTAATGCATACAGTAATGGCATTATATTACTGTAAACAGACAAGTTGCTAAATTGTTAATGCAAGCAAATCTCTACTCCAGCAATATTCTTTTTTTCAATACAATCCAATTTAATTGCAATACTTGAAAAAAAGCGGTCGATAATTAGTAGAATTGATTATTTCAGTGAAATAATGAAATTTGACAAGTATTTGCTTGATTTATTGAAGAATAATTCAAGAAACAATGTATAGTTTTAAACGAATTAATACAGTGTAATAAAATAGAATTTAATTTTACGGTGTAAAGAATTACAGAATGCTGAATATAATCCTACAGTACACAGAATTACTATATTTAATATGGATTAATATCGCGGATTACAGTAAATGATAACTGCAAAATGGATTTAAGCAAATAACTGCTTTGAAGTACGCTTCGAAGACGTTAATAAATTTGGAGAGGTGGTGGTGTCCCGGGGCAAAAATTGTAAATGATCAAACGCTGACAGTGATGAGCAGCGTCCTCTTTTCTTCTCTCGCCCTTTGTAGCCACCTCTTCACTTCCTCCAAGTCAGAATAACCTAATACCGTAATGAAATAATGACATACTGTAGTTGAGAAGTGATAGTACTCAGCATCTATGCAGACAATTATGAAGCATTTACTCTGCATTCCCTCTCATGTTTCGAATTTAAAAGTTTACAGTATTGCAATAACACGACATTACTAAAACTTGTTTATTCTACAAAAGCTGTAGTTTGCTTGCAATTAATATTATTACTTTCACAAATATCAATAATTTTCGATGTAAATTTCATTTTTTAAACTCAAAAACAACTTCATTCGTTACCAAATTGCAATACTGATCCCTACAAAGTTACCGTAATGGAGTTACTGTAATCTCAAATAATTTTGGTTTCTAACCTTGAAAAGAATTTTAATCAAATATATTCAGAAATATTCATGCGAATATATTTTCATTGGTTTTTATATTTATTCGTACGTTCTTACTGTTACTGCAAGTATTGCTGACTTGTATGATCGTCACTTTTAATCTTAATTAATTACTGCATGGCTTTGATCGTAGCTTTTAGTCTTAATTACTATACGCCTTTCAAAGTTTGTTGGATACACTTCCAATTCATTCGCATAGTCTATTATTATACCTCCAATACCTAATATTCATTGCATTTTGGTGCGGAGTAAACTGAAGTATTATACAGTAAAAAGGATTATACAGTAAACCGAAGTACTACACAGTAAGAAGGATTATGTAGTAAACTGAAGAATTATATGGTTGGATAAGCTTTAATCCAATTCTTATGCTATTCTAAATGCTAACTTAAGACTAAATCTAAAATGATTTTAAAATGCTTAAAAATATTCTACAGTCATAATTCTTACAGTATAGAATAATATTTAAAACTATTTTGTAACTAATGAAATAAAATTGTTAATTAGCACATTTCAAGAATGAGATAGTAGTAAAGATATCAAGCACATTCTTCTGCGATTTTTCAGATTTCTAAAAATGAAATAGCATCAGACAGGTCATGTATTTTCGTAAAGAATCAAAAAAAAATCACTGATGTGACCTTTGCTGACAGATTTTTACAACTGATAGCGATGACTACCTTCTGCGACGATTATCACTTTGCTTCCATTTGTAAAGAATTCTTTTTTTACTCTCAAAAACAAATAATTAGAAAAAATTGTTTTTCTAGTAAATAAATGCTATTATTATATATTTTTCGCTAAATCTGCTGCAAAATAATGACCACACACGCTAATAAGAATAATGTCTTTAAGAGTCACAAATTGTTGTCAGTAAAGTTATTCTTCTTGAAATATATTCATAAGTAATACTTATATCACTTATCGCTATTGAATCGAATAAAATGCTGCTATTTTTAGCTTAGACTATGGCATTGACCCTTTGAAGTTCATACTCCAAAAGTAAGTCGCAAATATATTTGCTTATACTAACAAATTGCAAAAATCTGTTCTTTTACGATTTCTATAAATTATAACTTTGATTTTCGCACACAGATCAATCACCTCATAAACTGCTGCGCAAGACTTTACTCTAAAATTTTTTCAATCAGAAAGTAATACTAAACTATAAGAATGGAAGGTTTCACTCTCGACTTCATTACCGAAAGAAACAAAACGCAAAAAAGTAAAATTCATCAATGCTACTTTATCAACTGCTTGATCAAATGATAACTCGACCCTTTTGCGTTTGATCATACTGATATTTAATGAACTCACAAGCAATTAATAATGGATGAACTCAAATTTGGACTGAATCGAAAACGAATAATTACATTTAATTAATCAATTAACTAATTCATAATATTTGAGCAAAGTATTGCTGAACAAAACTTTCAGAAAATATTTTAACAATTACTACTATTTAAGTTATTTTCTTAAAATGATAGTAATACAGGATACCCTCTGTAAGTACTACTACTACTAATTATAATTATAATCATTATGCAAAAAAAAATCGAAAGTCCTAATTCATTATAACACATTTTCCTTCAATTCATAATAATTATCATCTTTCTTCACTTTTCAAACTTATCACTGATTTCGAATTATTGTTATCAATTACTAATATTCATTTCCTGCCTCCAATCAATCTATTGCTAGTGTGTTACCAGGACTGTTGCACAACATTTATCAAATAATTATTATCGCCTTTTATCAGTACCGACTTATACTTTAGTATCAAACTTATCAGTAAAGATCACTACTATCAAACAACTTGATTAGAAGCAAAGAATAAATACTGCTGAACAATTATCAAACTTATCACAATGGAATCAAACAACCATTACTATTCATTTCTTAACTATTCAAATGTTAGTTCAATTCACTTATGTAAATTAAGTGACTCCTCCAAGTTCACAAATTTAAATCAAAAAAAAGGAATAAATTTAATTTTTATTGAAAATTTACTTCACATTCCGCAAGAAATTTAGTCGCAAGTGTATAATTAGAATGCTAGCAATCAAATCGCAAAAGTCTGATTCTTTATCGATAATTTTTTGAATTATGAAGAGTTACTTGTTGTAAGAGAAAGTGATTAATTTATAGAAAGCAAATAATTATTCAAAAATATATGTGTTAAATCAGCGCTCAAATCCAAAGTCAATCCGGACTGCTAAGAAAATGAAACTATCAAAAACTAAAACTAAAATTTGAATTGCATTCAAACGAACCATTTTCAAGCCTTTGAACATAATCGCTATTCATAGCTGTTAGCATTTCACATTTTCTTTCCAGCGATTTTATCTGACATTCTGAAAACATCACAAGTTACCCAGACTATACGACAATTTTGAATTAAATAGATTTCATTTGCGCTAATAATTATTTTAAACTTTAAATGACCATTTGTTTAACAGCGTTATCAACTTTGAACTTTTGCCTTACAAAAACGACAGTACTGGGATGAGCAGGCAACATCATCAATCTGTAGCAAATAAAAATTATCCAATTTTTTTTGGAAAATTTCGAAAATCAGTACATACCATATTTGTTATTCTGTGATAAAATCGTTGCTAGCTTTTGCTCACACTGAAAGATTACAAATACTAAAATTATTATTAATATAACTATAATTTTAATATATAGTTATTATTATCACTGTTTTCACTTCAATAATTATGTAAATGAACAATAATAAATGATAATAGTTACAGCATAAACTGTAAACAAATGCTTATAAATACTTAAAAATCCAATTAAAGTGATAAATAAAAAATTATTTTTCCCAAAGAAGTTTAAGATAATTTCGCATAAAAATTTGAAATTTCTCGTCATCTTTATCAAACAAAAAACTTTTCGAAGTATGTTAGCTGAGATAATTTTAAAATCGTTTCCAAATAAAACCTACGATTTACAATTTAAAATTCATTGAAATGAATACAAGCTTATTACTGAATACTTAATTCATAAATATAAAATGTGCTAAATATTAGCGCACTTTTTCAACATGTTGGTTAAATACAATAGCGAGGATGTCAAAGCCTCGAACAGCGTCTCCCAATCGTTTGATTTTTGCACATTCATCTGAAAATCAGATTAAAATTACAGTAAATCACCTGCATGCAAGTCAATCTCATAATTAAAATAATGGCAATGACCAATCACATGTAAAGTTGAAGGGGCAATCAGGTTTTTATGCTTCTAAAAAAATATGAATTTTTTGAAATTCAAAGAAATTAAAAAGTATGAAAATTCCATGCAAAGTGTAATTTACTATGCGTAGATAAATATTAATGCGCACCAAATGTAAATTTAAGCAACTATTTGCACTGAACTTCATCTAATTTAATTCAGAAGTCCATGTAGTATTTTGCAAGCATTTTTCTAGCAAGCTTTTATTTGCTAACTTCAGAAATGCATTAGAATACATAATGTACTTATGAATAATATCTAACTTATTAATATTATGGAGTAAGCTGTCAAATTTGATGGCTTGTAGAAAGAATATGAACTACAATGGGCAGTGAAATGAAATTCTAATTAACTTTTCTAGTTATGAATCTGAAAAGATTCTGATTTCTTTCAAAATTCAGTATATATCAATGAGGTGAGAATAGATAACAGTTTCAATTAGCTTAAAAAGTATCAAACCATTGTTTTTTTTTGTTTCTAAAATTACAATGAATTATTTTCTCATTTGTTTCTAATTCATCAAGTCATTTCAGATTTTTATATCTTGAAAAAATAAAAGTTTAATTAGCTAATAAAAAATTAAGCTAATACACACCCAATTCCATTTTCGTAACCACAGAAACCTGTCCACGACCTGCTTTAGCAGTACGAGCTGCCAGAACTGTCGACGATGTTGGCAAGCCAGAAACTGACACTAAAAAAACGTTAAACTCTATGCATTTCCTTTTTCTCATTCAAATATTTACAAGTGCATATATGCAAATTTTCTTCTAATTTACAGCCTATACATGAGAGAATTTTCTTCTAATAAATATTTACAACTACAAATATGCAAATTTTCTTCTAATTTACAGCTATACATAAGAGAATTTCCTCCTAATAAATATTTACAATTACAAATATGCAAATTTTCTTCTAATTTACAGCTATACATGAGAGAACTTTCTTCTAATAAATTTTTACGGTTATTAACTTGCAAGAAGTTACTAAACACTTTAGTTACTGTTGAAATATACAAACAGTACAAAATTTGATAGAGTTCAAAGTTCAACTGAAAATAAATTTTTAGATGTTTAGTGTAATATTATACAAAAATAGTTTCTTGAATGACAAAATTAAAGTGATTTTATGCTTCATTATTAAAAAATACTTCAAAACTGAGCCATTAGGGCATCAGTAAATATGTAATTGTGCAAAATTTGGTATTTGAAATAGTAACCTGAAGTCATTGAAACTGTTTAAGTCTTTCAATGGTCAGCTTGGAGCAATTTTAAATTATTGTTTGAAAATACATTTTGATTTAGGTTAAGGTTATATCAGTTAAATACCCAAGACAACCATTTAGTATATTAATTAGTTTCAATTAACTTCGCTAATCCACAAAAATAATAAGAAAAATTCATAGATCCAATACATGCAAATTTTTTTTGAAAATTTATGTATTAAAAAATTTAAATAAGAAAAACGAAAATTCAAATATATTATTTCCGTAATTATAATCTCTTTGTATGGCATTAATCTATAATTTATTCAATTTATTCAATATATTATTTCCTAGTTAGAACAAATCATCTAAAAAACCTTCCCGCACAACCAAATAGAAATGTGCGGCAAAAATGTTTTTTCCTTTTGAAAATATAAAAAATATAATGGAAATATTTATGAAAAAAAATTTTAATAATTAAAGTAAAAGAAAAAATAATATATTTATGTTAAAAATTTTGAATAAATTTTAAATTAATACCTTACAAAGAGATTATAATTGCAAAAAAACTTCATGCATTTCACATTTCACAAATGTGAAAACTGATAAAAAGTGCTGAAAAAAATTAATATTTATATTATTCAGATATTATTTTAAAAATCTTTTCACTATGTATCATAAATTAAAGTATAATTTGAAAAATAGTAAAGTAAAAAATTTGCAAGCGAACAAACTCTCACTCACATCAATTCACCACAAATTTTCAACTTAAAAAAAAGTTTGAACGGAAAAAGCAAAAATATTTGACTTAGTAATTTTTATAAAAAACAAAACAAATTTAAAACGACGAATTATTTGACAAAACTGAAACAAAGACCCAAATATCCATACTTTTTATTATTTCTTTCTATACTCTTTTATGGAAAGTAAATCAATTCGGTAAGTATTACTAATATTATTTGTAAAAAACTTTACATTTGCAATTTAAAACTAACTTATTCAGTGAAACACTTATAGGAGACGAAAATTCTACGGCAAATTGTGGAAATTTGCTGTAGAATATATATATTGAATTATATGATAAGTTTACGTGTATATCTAAAATTATTGTATGTTCGTAAGCAGACACGTAAGTCAAAAAATACATACTTTATAAGCATTTGATTTAATTCAAAACAAATATTATAAAAAATAAACTTACGCTCAGACTTTGAAGATGATGAAGGCTTTATTTTGGACTGAGCCAATTTACAATTATTTTTATTCTCGTCTTTTAGAGGCTTATCACATTTCATTACTACTTGACCTGAAAGTTAGTCTTGTATGAATTATTCACTATTAACTAAACTGATAAAAGATAAAACTACAATTAAAAGCACGAACGATATTCGAATTGACTTAATTAGCGTGTTAAGATCTGTCCAATTTCTAGCTTATCTAAGAATCCTTAATTTGAAATAATAGCGCCCAAAATATCTTTTATTTTAGTTCTATGCTTTTTATTGAAAAAAGAAAACTCACTTACTATAAATTAATTTTTAACTACTGTATAGATATTTTAATAATTTTAATTCTATGAGAAAAATTATTATTAAACATTATTATTAACAGTTATCCGTACTAATAATTCACGTTTTGCATAGTCAATTATTCATGTATTTCATGTACATTTTGATATATGAGGCTAGACCAAAATGTGAAATTTTGCAAGGATAATTTAAAAATCTTAACTTGAAATGTACACATTATTGCACTGAGTAAATATTAGAAAAATTAGGTATTGCTTGTTTTAAGGTATAAAATAAACACCACAAAGGTAGCAAATTTCAAATTTTGCATCACATAAACTCAAATATTACAAATATTCCACAATTCACTGCAAAATTTTCAAAAAAGTAAAATTTTCTTTTCTCAACAAAAATAAAAATTGACGTTACGTTTATACGTGGCGACAGATTACTTGCAATGTTAATTGAGATTGCAAACAATTTCAAATTCTCATGAAATTTTTGCTAAAAAATGTGCTCTAGAAAGTATAATTATAAGTAAAAGAGTTTTTACAGTTTAAAAAATCACATAAGTTTTCATTTAAACTGCCTTAGAACTGTTCAATTTAAATTTCAAAAAAGTTAATAGGTTTGATTCCTTGTGATATTACATTACTTCTGCTAGAAGAATTAATTAATTTCTATGCCAATTTATGTCACTAGTTGACAATTAAAAACACAAAAATACATTTTTTGAATGTCCGAACAAATTTAATAATTGAGGTCAATTCACCATTTTTTAAATGATATGAAATATATTATATAACAGTATAAAAGCTATCTAAATTTTATGTATACTTTCTAAATGCATATTTTCTATGTACACTTACTTACACGTTTACCAGTTGAAATTCAAATTCTTACTAGCTTTTGGTGGAAGCAGTGATTGTCTCGGTTTTGTAATTGTCCTTGGCGGTCTGGTCGTTGGAATATTAGGCGCGCGAGCTAAACCAGGCCGTGTACGCACATTTGCCACTTTTAGCGGCTCATTACGACGAGATTTCTCACTTGGCGGATGTAACGGTAACTTTTTGTTTTCTGCATTGTAAGACATCGTATCTTCTAAAAATAATTTAGCGGAAAAAATTACTTTAAAAAATGATCGCAATAATAAACAAATCATTTTTATAATTAAGTAGCACTGAGCTTTCAAAACATATTTTTGATTGATATAAGATGGATTACTTATAAGTAACAAAATGATCATATTTCATCTCAGATTAAGCACTTTCGGTGCTAAATCTAAGCTTAACGTCGTCTTCAACTTTTCGCACTTTGTTTCATATTTTAGACTTCAAAACTATTTTTTAATTTTTTAGCGCACTTTTGATCAGTTTGTTTGAAATTTATAATTTTTACACAATTACAAACCTCAAAAGATCAAGCACTCTAAATGCCTGAAATTATATAATTTTGAGTGTTTGATATGAAATTTCAATAATTTATCAAATAAAGTGTTAAGAATCTGGATTTATGCGCGGAATAGAAGAATGAATACAATAAATGATAAAATAATTATTTACATAATTTCACGCATTTTACGTGATTTTACCTTTTCTGCTAAAATTGCATGACCTGATGACATTTACAAGCAAAACATACTACTACAGTTACTTATCTCTCGTACAGAATCTATACTAAAAGATTAACTGTCTTAAAGATTGAAATGGCTTTTATCAGGCATTTTATCATACAATTACGTTCTACTAAGATCTACTAAGAACTAAGTGAACCAAAGTGTACACAAAAATATTAACATAATATATTAAAAGTGCTTAAAGTGTTAAATAAGCCTTTAAATCATTTAATTTCAATCTTAATTTACTGATCAATTATGCAAATTCAAGAAAATATGCAGTGATCAATCAAAAATCAAAAGTGTAAGTGATTAGATTTATTCTTGAACCAATAACCAGTAATCAATAATTTTATCATTCTGTTGAAAATATTATAATCTGAGCATTTAAAGATATTACGATGGAAAAATAACTATTTCACCGTTGAACCAAATATGCTAAAAAGACTAATACAATTAAAAAATGAAAGAATAAGAAAATTATAAAAACGAAACTTTGAACTTGCTGCACTGCAAATCTGACAGAGAGAATGAAATCCTCAAATCCCCAGAGAATTCACTTTCTTTATTATCAGTCTAACTTATAAACAACTATTTACCTTTCTTTTTTCACACTAATCAATAGTTCATTTATTACTTGACCTACATATTTATTAATTGACGACTGAACTAGAAGAATTAGCGCTACAATTTTTACTTCATAAATAATAAAATCATTTACTACTAATACTTTTTTTTAGTTTTTTCAGCTTTGAACAATCAGCTAATCCAATCAAGAAGCTTAGACTAAGTGAAAATCTCTTAGTCCCTATCATAATCTCTAAGACCGAACTGAATAAGATGTACACTATTTAGCTTCTAAGTGCAGTTTGCACAATATGTGTTTATAATTTGTACGTTGCAAAAGTATTTTGGCCAGTTTTGATTTAGTGCAAGAAAGATAATATTTATAAAAAATGTAGTGCAAAGTGTTTTTAATAATTTATTCATTTCTTAGCACAAAAGCCTCAATAAACTGTTTATTTTCAGGCATAAATTACAACTTTAAATGAATCTAGTGATGTTATTCATGAGAAAAAACCGCACACATTCACAATTTGATGTTAATTTTTAATACTGAAGAAATTTGAGGGCGCAAACTTATAAACATTCAGCAACAGTATAGAAAGTATTCAAAAATAAGAAGTAATTTATTCAAATCTTGCTATGCAATACAGAATAAATTAAATACTTATTAATGAATTACAAATGGAAAAAATGAAATGAAAAAATATAAATTATCAAAAATGTTAAACAGAGACGGAGATAATTAGATTTTTAATTAATTTCCAATTTTGATTTTTCTTACTAATTTGATTTTTAATTACAACAAACGCTTTAATTCATTCAAGGAAACAGTATAAAAACTTGAACAGAACAGAGTTAAATTCAAATTCCAAATTTCAAAAGTGAGCTATTCAAATTTTCATAAAAAATTTTATACCTCACAATAAGAATAATTAATGCAAAATTTACATATGTTCACTACTGTCCTTTCAGTTTTCGTTCAATAAATGCCATATCTGAATCCAAACTAATATTTCAGTGCTTATTAAATGTCAGTCAACTTAAATATTTTGATAATTATGTAAATTTCTCAAAATGTAAACAGACAGAAAGTTTGGAAAACAATAAAAAAGCAAAAAAAATATTGCTTGAAAGTTGTTCAATGCAAGAGTCTTCGAGTAAGGAAAGTATGAAAGGAAGAAATTTTTGTGATCTAGTTCTGAGATTATTTCAGACAAGTATTCATGCAGATCATCTCATATCAAACTTCCGTACATCTTTGAAAAAATGCTCGAAATTAAACGCATATTTTTAGCTTCCTCATTTTCGTAATAGAAGTTCTTTAAAACAATCAAAAACAAATTTACGACAATTTAAAATGTCGAAAATACGGATAAAAAGTCGAAAAATATGGATAAAAAGTCGAAAAATATGGATAAAAAGTCGAAAAATATGGATAAAAAGTCAAAAAATATGGGTAAAAAGTCAAAAAATATGGGTAAAAAGTCGAAAAATACGGATAAAAAGTCAAAAATTACGATTTGTGATCACCAAAAAATGAAAATATTTTGGTAAAAAATGAAAGTTTTTGGTCTGATTCAGTTATGTACAGATTATTATGGCAAAATGTGAAGAAATGTGAAAACTCGAGGAGAGTTACAAAATTACGTCTAAGCCAAAAATGAATGAGAAAGAATGATAACAGACTTTTCGAACGACCTCTGACCTCATAATACTAGCAGTCACTGTGCAAATGTTTTTCCTACTCATTTTAGGTCATCCTGTAATATAAAAAGCGAAAAATGTAAAGTAAACAAATCAATCCTTGTTAATATTAGTGCTAAGCACACAAAGTGAATTTATTAGTATGAATTCTTACATTTAAGCTTGGGAAAAATAAAAAACAAAACGAAAGTTGAGAAAAAACGAAAAGTTACAACTCAGCAAAGTCAATACAATGTAGTCGCATGGCTTAAGCATGAGTAACTTTATGCAAATTTTACTCACTTTATGATCGATAACTTCATGCTCCGCCTATAATATCATTTAGACTTAATCTCTTCATATTCAGAAATAAATTAATTCCTTGAAAAGTTAAAATTTGAATACTTGTTTGCAGATTTTGACTTTTCATAAAATTAATTTCTGAATAGAAAAGATTAAGTCACAGTGATATTGAGAGGATTAATTGAAAATGACAATGGAACTTTTTATTTTGCATAAAGTTAGAATCTGCATAATTTTCATACTAAACGATATGCCTCAGTTTTGGCCCAATAATTAATCCTAAATGATATTCATCGCTGCCAGGGGACAAATTTTTTTCTACATTCCATCACATTATCTTGTGAAGTTTACACGAATTCAGTAGACCAGTACTTATCAAAATTATGAATGAAGCCAGTACTAACTTGTTAAGTCATTACTTATAGAACTTTAGAATCAGATCAGTCAGTGCTAACCTTTATTTTCTGCAAGAACTTGTGGCAGTTGTGTACTTCGAATTGGTGGTGGAGCTGAGAGAATTTCATGAAGTTTTGATTTGACATCTTTTTTTGGCTTAAGTTTATCCGCTTCAATACTTGCTTTCAACTGTTCCATCATTAACTGGGATTTAGAAGGAGGTTTTAACTTTGCTGGTCTAGTAGGAATTGGTGCATTCTGAATCTCTCTTATCGATGGCTAAACAAACTTATTTAAACACTGCATTAAGCGAACAAAATTTGTAAAAGAAATACTTAACAACTATAAATTTGTGTAATTTTCAATATTTTAATTGTTCATTTTACTGATTTGAAATTATTGTTAAAATGATTTGATTGAAATCATACTAATCAATTTTTAGATCATTGCAATTATCGATTTGTTGAAAATTAACTTTGTATACTTAAATGACATTTATTTTGAGAGACATGGAAGTTTTATTTTTGACTGTTTAAATAAAAACTACCGGTCGTGGTTTTCTGGGCCGTTCTTTGATTTCTTCTTTCTTCAAACTTTCTATTTTACCCTTAGCTGAACTTTTAATATATTCGTGACCTTTTGGCGATGATTCTTTGGTAACTGTAAAACTTCGATTCAATTCTTGTTGCTCTTGTGATTCTCTTTTTAGTGCTTCAGCACTTGTCATCTGAAAATATTTAAAAATAAAATTATTAAAAAATTTCAAATTTTTTTTAGCAAAAAAAGGAAATTCAAATTAATTAAATTTTCTTTGCAATAATTAGTAAAAAATTATATTTGAAATATTTTTATCAGTCTAAAATATTAACTTACTGCAGCATTTGATAGTTCTGGGAAGCTTGTATCCGAGAGTAAAGTTTGTTTTTTATTTTGAGGTAACTGGTGAAGAAGAAGATGAGTAGCATCAGCTGTGATATCTGATACTGTAGAATCAGTACTCATACTTGACAGTACCCGATCAAATACTAATGCATCTGCTGGATATTGATGGTCGTGTTGCTGACTTTGTGGTAATTGAGAATAAAGTGATTTATATGCAGAAAATTCATTAAGATAAACTGATGGTGCTACATTTTGTAAATTATCAACTGGTTCAGTTGTTATAGCATTATTAGTATGTTGTTGATGAATAGAATATTCTTCAGTATAATTATGCAAAATGTAATCGTGATGTTGTTGCTGCTCATACTGGTGAAATGCATCATTATAAGGATTGTATTCCACAAGCGGGGTGGATAAGTCATCTTCTGCAGTCGGAAGACGGGTAACTCCAATTTCTGATGATTCCAGTACAAGATTGCTGCTTACTATAAGTACAATAAGTTTATACTACTAGTTTATTTTGAATAAAAATACTAATATAATTTAAAAAATACTAAATATATATTAGTATACAAATTGTATGATTTATTATTAATATCCACTATAGAAAATTATAAAAAATTTTTAGTATTTTCAAGAAAAACTAATATTAATACATCATACTACATACTGATACATCATACTCTGTTCATATCTAAATCATAATTAGCTTATCAATTGAATTTCAAGTTTTTGTGTTCAATTCATTGCATTAGTTTATTTTAAATACTCAAAAATCTTTTTCAATTTACAAATTTTTGAAAAAAATTAAGTGAGTACAGAAAAGATTTTTATAAATTTCATTCCCTTAACTTAAAATAAATAATTAAAAATAATTACAAAACTAGTTTTTACATTGTGGATACGGCATGTCATCGTCAACTTCGATCAACTCGCTTGGGCATTCGATTTCTTCCAGCAGTTGATAATGGCTACGATCTGCCTAAAATCTAACATTTTCCAGTGAAAAAATGAAATAATCAATCCATGATTAACTTTGACCTGTTGAAAAATATCTTAGAATAAAATATTATAGCTAATATTTAATTGCTCAGCAAGCTATGAATACAAAGTTTGCAAGCAAAATTGTACAAAATTTGGAATATTATTATAACTTATGCATTGATAAAAGTTATAAAAAATTTAGTTTCATTCATTTCGAACGCTGTCATCTTAATTATTTATTTACTTAGCAATGAATAGATTATCAAATACTTTTATATAACGTGTCAATTATCAATTAATTAAAACGTGTCAATCATTATCACTTTGGAGAATTGTCGCTATTATTACTTTGTTCACGTGTATCCATAAGTTTAGAAGTTATAGCAATGAAATAAAAACGCATAAAAATCTATTAGTAAACTTAAAAATAATATTTGATACAATGATTTAGTGTTGTAGTTAGCGAAGAAAATTAAAAATACAACAAAGAAGCTTTCAAAAAGGACAATAAGGCTAAACTTCTGAAATTAATCGAAAATAATTTCTGACAGAGTAAAAAATATTCAAAACTGAAATTTCTGTACAAACAAATTAGTGCTTTTTTTGGAATACAATACTTAATCCTTAATTTTAGATAAAACTCGCTTCCAGCGTTATTTAATTTTAAAACCATTTTTTGTAATTTTATTTAAAAGCAGCAATTTACCGATCCAGAAACTGTATAAGTTGTTTGAGAATTGACCATTGCATCGCTGTTCCAACTACCACTCATTATCTGCAAACTTAATAACTTTGAATCAACTAAAAAGATGCAATCAAATTCAATTCACAATTTAAATGCAAATAATTTAAAAAGAAATGAATTCAAATTAAAGGTCTTAGTGCAATATAAAATGTTGTATAACAGGAAGTTTAATTTCATTATGAATAAAAGGTTTCTCAACTTTGATGAATAATTTTAAATTTAGTGTTTGCTACAATTAGTGCTATTTTAGACAATATTAAAATTGTATGCAAAAATAACAAAATTAATTTGAAAAATATTACTAAAATTTACTGAACTTATAGATCTGAACTGAAATTAACTTTAAATTTTGAACTGCAGACTTGTAATACAGGGAATAATTATACTTTTGCGTTAATTAAATTGTAAAAATTGATCATGCGTGTAATTGAAAATTTATTTTAGAGAGTTAATGCACCGAATAAATATTTGGACGTTTGAATGTGTTAAAAATTTATACCAAACTTTACGCGCAGCAAATTTTTTACCTCAATTATAAAATTAGTAGTGAGAAAATTTGAGATTTAAAATAATAATTTTTCATTTTGTCACAAAAGTATATAATGCTCGAAATTTGCCTAAAAGTATTTATAAGTTAAATCAGAAATAACTTTACAAACAATAATAAATATTATTTCAATAGTAATCAAACATTCAATTATTCAGCTTTAACATTTTTGCAAATTATGCAAAAAGTTTTTTAGTATCTAATTTACGTTATCTTTAGTGAATAAATAATAGTAGTAAAAATACATACATATACCTGTAAATATTTGTTTTTATATTTTAAAATAAAAATAAAAATAAAAATGAAAGAAAAACTATGCCGGATACAAAATTAACCAATAATTTTCGTACGATAATTCTTTAGTTAACTAACGTAAAGACGAAACTAGAGGAATGTTTAAAAACGAGTTGTGATTATTCAGTACTTGTTATCATTTGTTATCACTTCTAAATATCACTTCAAACTAATTTCTTGCCATCTTTATCACTACCAATTAGTGTTAAAAATATTTAACCTTCTTCAATGAAATTTTAAGAAGTAATTTTTTGCACTGCAAAACTTTTTCAATTATAAAGTTAAAGTAAAATGTTCGCTTGTAATTTGGAATTACAATTGGCAAGTGAAACAAATTTACTGATATAATTAATATTTTTGATAAAAAATTAATTAATTAAAAAATTAACTCAGATTAATGTGTATTTTTGAAAGAAAAAATATCAGAATTGATAATAAAGCCTAGCAAAAAGCAATGAGAAGGAATGAATAATAGCTTTTACGAGTAAAACATCAGAAGTTGCTCTTTTCAGTGCACGTCAACAATAATATTGAAACCAAAAATCAGCGATTTTTCTGGAGGAAAACGCAAAAAAATAATATTTATTGCGGGAAATGCAACAACATTGCATTGTTTTGCTCTAAAATCACAATTTGCTCATTTCAAAAAAATCTTTTCTATTACTTTAATTTAGTATTCAATTCCTTTTCATCTATCTGAGAGTTAAATCATTTCAATTACTTATATTTGAATATTCGATTCCTTTTCATCTGAAAATCAAGCTAAAGAAGTTAACATTTATTCATAATTTTCACAACGAGTTTTGCTCATTTTTATCATAACATACCTAATGAAATTTTTTATTTTTCCAGTGCCTTATGCTAAATTTATATAAAATTATAACTATGTGATCATTAATTATTATTATTTTAAAGATCAGAAATCAATACTTTGGAATGCTGCAAATAGTCGTTTGATTTTTTTAAAATTATATAAAAATTAAAAAAATGATCCTAATAGATTGTTTAAAAAATCGAATAATAATTGAAGTTTTTTTGTACAGTGTTAAATGATAATTTTATTTTCAGTGCAAACTATATCAAAGGCTATAAGCAGTTATTGTTTTTAGCGTTGAAAATTTGATTTTTTATTTAATAATTCATAAAAAAGTAGATTACAAAAACAATTATACTTGCGGCCATGACAGGTAACTATTGCGAATCAGTCAGAAGGCAAAAATGCAATGATTACAATTTCATTTTTTCAAATAAACAATTTTTGAGTGAGAAAAATTTCTACTGCATTAGCGATGATAGCATTTTCTTTTTATAATTGATTTATTGATTTGATCAAGAACTGATCTAAATTAATATTATGAGCTAATTAACCATAGAATGATCGAATATGTTGGATGATCCTAAAGTGCTCACAGATGCCATACTAATATCCATTGAAGGAGTGCCTGATCGTAAAGATGTTGAGGAGGTCATTGCTGTTGACCGCATCATATCACTATGACCTGCTGAAATGGCTGCCATCGCTGACCGCATTAACTTCTGAAAATAAAACAAGCAATGCAAAGAAAGGCTTAAAGAAATGCACTAACTTTGCAGCGCTTACTTTATTTTTAACAAGTAAATGCTAGCATAGAAGCACTAAAATGCAGTACTGATAAAAGTTCAAAGTGCTTACAAAGCATTAATCTTCTCAAAATAACGTTGTTCTTGAGATTATTCTGTTTCCAATAATGCTCTTTAAATTGCATACAAAATGCATGAAGCTTCAAATAAAGAATCTGTCTTACTAAAATAAAACCGTACAAACTTTTGCTTACTTGTTCTGATTACAAAGTGCTCAAGGTCACAATTACTTACTTTGTATTTAAAACTATTAAAATTGCAGTTTTTAATTACAAAAATAAATATTTTTGCATTTATGGCAACTTATCACTCATTAAAATTGACTTATTTCAATTACTCTTCCTATTACTTTTCATTTTATTGAAGAATTTTTAGATTCTAAAAAACGTAATTTACTTTTTGTGTGCACTGTTGATTTTTTCATATTTAGCTAATCATCTCGTAGTGCTAATTATGTATATAATAGCAACAAAATTAACCTCTTCCCGTCTTGCAAAAATTTTTGTTTCTTCTAATAATTCTACTTTATATGATGGAGCAAATATGCCGTGTAAATGGGTGCAATGAAAATATGCAATACCTGAAATTATAGCAAACTTTCTTGGCAAACTGTGATCAATACAAGCGTAAAACAAAATTTAAAATTAAGTAATTCATTAAAATTTAATTCCATATAGTAAATTTCTTTATTAATAATGACAAAATTACAATTATATTTGGAAATATCTCAACTAATCTTAAAAAATTCAAATGAATAACTTAAATAAAATCAAACAAACGAGTATTACAATTTAAAAAGATCCCATTTGTGCTTGATTCAGATTGCTCAAAATTTTCATTAATTCAGCGAAAATAGCAAATTTACAAAACTTTGGATTATTTCTGGAAAGTACTCTCAAGAATTTACAAACTTGCTTACTGCTTACTATGAAGTTCAAAAAAAGCTATTTTCCTTTGCAAAAAAAATTAATTACATTTTTTTGTGCGCAATTATTTTTCCAATATAACAATACTTTTACTAGATATTCAATATAAAATCTACTAAATTTTTGATAACTTTAGGAAGTGTGCATAATTTTGTAAAAATGGCACAATATGCTTTTATAATATGATTTAATATAGAGCATACCTTGGTAAGTTCCGTTGTGTTTTCCTTCCGGTTGATCTAATTCAATACCACAGAAAATACCTTCCTTGCCTTCGACCTTTCCAACATATCTCAGTGTTCCAGCACCAACCCGACCTACGATTACCCGTTTTCCCACATCTTTTTTACTTATAGTTGCACCTTTGAAGGAAACCTTAAAGATTTGCATGCAAAAATAACTTTTAACAAATCAATTCATTCTGATTTTTTTTTCAAATTTAAGCAAAAATAGAGTCACTCATAATTATTTCTATAAAAGTTACTGACCTCATTAATGTAATGAAAAAAGCAGTTGTACATATTTGGACAGAAAACATTTTTGAGAAAATTACAAAAATAATTGCCATTTTTATAACGTAAGAGTCTACATGGAAATAAAATGAAATTGAAATAGATAGTTTTCAAAGGCAGTACTGATTAGGTACTATCAGTGTTACTGTTAATTATTCACACCAAAATTACATTCTAGTCTCCTAAGAAATACCTTTACTAATTTTTATATTTGTCAGGCAAGTTCACACTTTTAGACTTGTAAAATACAAATTATTTTGTTTGTTAGAAATGACTTTTAATAAGGTGCCTACGTTTTAAAGTTAGAATATTAAAAATAAACCTCGTCAGTTAATAATATGACAGGTACTTGATTTTGACGATAGGTTGCAATTTATTTCCACTACAAGTAATTAATCAACAACTTTCATAGAGTGATGGAGAAACACAATTTTCAACACTGAATTGCTTAAAATAATTTTTAAAAATTTACTTTGGTAGTCTTTGGTAGTTCTTCGGTAAGTGAAGTAGAATTAAGTAAGTACAGTTACTTGTCAATTCAGTTCTAATGTACGCAAAACATGCTCCTATTACCGAGAGCGGTGTTCTTTTTCCTCACAATGCGGGAAATTTTCTGTCAATCAATTACCGTGGTGTTTTTTTCTTACCGCACTTTGCAGGTAATTGCGCTGCTTTTCTCGCGCACTGTGTGAGAAATTTGCTCTTATAATAATTTTCATTTCAATAAAACACGTCTACTTACTTTATTCTAACATACAGAAATCTTAAAGCTTACTAAAAAAAAATACAGTTCTAATGTTTCTAGTTGGTAAGTGCCTAAATAATTTAAAAAATTGAAAAATTGTTGAAAAATTGAACAACTTTTGCTAAATTCCCGCAAGCACTGCAAAAAAGTCAGCAAAAGAGTTTTTATGATAGATTGGACAACTGCAGGGAAATTATAAAAAGTTATGTTGTCGAATTTTAAGCTTTGTATCTGATAAGTCAGGAATTAGTTTACAGGAATGATATCAATTAGACCATAAACTGAGTCCTGAATTAAACAAATCACAACAGAGCATTTAGTTTGATTGACCAGTAGTGGACATCGATAAAATTATGAACCAAATCATAGAGTAGCACAAAATATTAAAATCTTTGCGAAGAAAATTAACATTTTGCTTGAAATTAACGTAAGAAATAATTCAGTAACGAATATTGCATTGAAAACCTGCGATTTAGTCTATTAGCAAATTCAAAAGATGCAAATATGCAGCAGCAATTTACAGTCACTTATATATTTTGCATAATGAAACTTATAAAAATGAGCAATTTGCATATTAGACAATAATATTGAGGCACTTGACTGCAAACAAAATATTATTAAATATTTGCTCTAAATTTCGTGAAGATTGATGACTGATAAGCAAAGTATGCTCAATTTTCGATGCTTAATCCCAAAAGCTTTCAAAGTTCAATCCAATATATCATAAAAGCTCTTTTGCTGAAGCAATTTCAATGCTTATGTGAGTTTAGTAAAAGTTTTTCAAAAAAGCCTTTTTTCTCATGTCAGACTTAAAATCATTCTTTTTGTCTGCAGATAATTCAAATTGTGAACTGCTGAACTACTTAGTTTTGTATTATTTTTGTTGCAATATGCAAATGAGATACGATATTTAATTAGGATATGGTATTCGTAATTTTAGAAATAAAGCAAAGGCCAAATGGAGCCATGACTTTTGGCTTACTATAAGGATATTTACATGAAAGGTAATTTAAACATTCATATATTTATTATTTTATTTTAGTGATATTTAATTTAATTACTACTTTTAACATACCTTATCTCCTGTAGATTTGTGCATAGTTAAATCAATTTTTGTTGAATGAACATTGCTGCAAAAATTTGTATAATAGAAACTAATATATATAAATATTAATCAAATAGCAGCGTGTGAAGCAATAATGAAAGGTGAAGTAAAAATATTTGCTTGAGTTACGCGCATTTGTTCGTTCAAATTAGAATTGGTACAAATTTGTACCTAGCAAATTCGAAAATAATTTCAGTGCAATATTATACGAATATAACATTTTAATTATCAAAATATAATGAATAAAACAATAACAATTCAGTACTTAAATGATATGCCTTAAGTAATACCCAAAAAGGTGCACCTAAAAAATTGCTTTCGCCATTTGAAAATTTGAATTCAAACTTTCATTTTATTTCTTGAAAATTTATTGCTTCCAAATATATGCGTGTATATCTATTTGTTCAATTACTTGTCTCTGCAGCTCTACATAATTATGTTTTAAGTAATAAATACTTTATTAGAGACTCTATTTGTGTAATTGTTAAAAGAAAATAATATTACTTAGAAATTTAATGAATCTAACCTGAGTGAATCTACTGAATCACAATAAAAAGTACAGATGTTTGCAGTTTTTTTTTAAATTAACAAGCAGAATTTTAGTACAAATTCATATCTGATGGGATGGGAGTACTTTCATGCAATATACGCGTGACAATTTTATTACTTTGTAAAACTGTTTAATATTTTCTGCGAACAATACAAAATCTTATCGCAACTTTTGTCATAATCAATTATTTTGCATTAATTACTTGCAATTATATTTTTACTCAAATAATTAAAAACAATAATTCAATTATCAGCAAAGAAAAAATCACAGCCCGCAAAAACCTCACAAAGCATTTTGACCAGTGCAACTTTTTTATACAAAAATTGTTAAATATTAATTTTGAGTTAAGAATTGGTTAACTTTTAGTACTGACCACAATAATAACATTTGCGTAGCACAAAGAGCAATTATTGTGGCTGGTAGAGATGTGAATGTCTGAAATTACGATTAATTATCACGCTAAATTGCCATATGGGATTTGGAAGTGAACTAGAAATAAGTTGAAAATTGAAAGCGTATTAAAAAGCATACATAAGGCATGATGATATCGTGGTAAAAATGTAAATATTTTGATTTCGATATTCTGCAATTTTGCTTGATATTCCAAAGATTGTAAGTCTCCCAAGAGACGTAGAAGTTACTTTGACTATTCTCAAAAACATTCAAAAATCTTCAGGAATTTCTAAAAAATTTGAAACTGACAATTTGAATAAAAAATCAGAATTTAATTTAGCACTGCTCTGCTTATTTTCGCAAAAGTAATATCGTTTCTTAGCGTTTATAAACCTGAAACTATCTATGTCTCTCAAATTTGAAAGTTTTTACAAGTCAAATTTGAAATTTAATTTTGCTAAAAAACTTACACAAATATTTTGCATAAGTGAAGCAGCGAAAGCTAATAATTATTTCACATCGTTAATTATGCGAAAATTTTGATGAAAAATAAAAAATCTATTCTATGCATAAAAATTGAATATACTCGTAAAAAATGCATTTTGCGCATGGAAAATGTCACTTTCAAGAGGCAGTACGATATTGAATAATTTATCACGATTCCGATCGGATGAACGAAATAAAATGTGGAATTCTTAAAGAACTTTATGCAGGATTAAGGAAGCAGTGAACATCTTGAAACATTCTGAGAATCTGAGCAGTGGAATCTGAGTTTTCGACATATTGTAAAATTAGTGCACAAATTTATGCTTATAATTTGTTGTTTAAAATTTGAAGTAGCTTAAATAAATCCAACCTATTTACTGCATAAATAAAAAGACAAGCAAATTTGAATTATCATTACTGATAGCATACAGAGAAAGGACACAGCCATTTAATTAAACTGTTTAGTTTTTTGTATCATAAATGGTTAACATTCATTAGGAAAGTTTCTTTCCAAAACTGTACTACTATGGAGATTTTAGAAGCAAAGAAATACAAATGAATGACACGTTTCTTGATGAAAATGCTTACGAATTCTACATGCAATCAAAAATGAACCAATCAAATGATTAATTTAACTGACTGATTAATTGATCAACTAATGTGATCAGCAGTTATCACGTACATATAAACCCACCAACTTGAATCTTTGTAAAATACTTTTCCAAATTCAGTTGATTCTGCGTAACTTTAACTTAAAAGTCATATATTCTATGAAAAAAGCAACTTATTCACATGTTTTGCGGTACAAAAGTTTTTTACCGCAAAATAATACTTTTTTCCGGTAAAAAATTGATCCCGAAAAGTATAACGTTTGCAGCGCGAAAATTTATTCTAAAACTTTCAAATTTACACACAATTTTTTGAAATATATTGAAAATTACTATTAATGTCATGAAAAATTCGTTAAAACAAACTCAGCATATGTATGTAAATTATAGGTAAAAGAGATAAATAACGAAGTCTAACTTGAACAATTCATTAGGCTATTCAAACAAGCAGAGTTTACATTTGTGTGGACTTTAATTTGAATTTTAATTACAATCAGTATTTAAATTTAGTTATAATTTTAAGTATTAATGTTAGAAATATGTGTTATCAACTAAGGGCTTACTTTTGAAAGCTCATTACTATGCAAATATTTATACTAAAAATTCAATTAAGTAACAGAAATGAACTGGCTAATTGAATACGCCATCAAGTCTGCTACACGTACTTTACACATTTTATTTTTTTATTCAAAAAAACCAAATATCGATTTCATATGTTTGCAAACATTTGTATGAAGCGAAAGTAGTAAAAAATGCATGAAAATGTTTGCATATTTTAGTGCAGTGACGTGTCAAGCAAACATGTCTTTGGGGATTAAACTTACTTCCAAGTTTATTTGAGTGATGAATAAGTTAAAAAATTGCATATGCAACAATTTCTCAGATCAATGAATTACTAATAAATAATGCGATTAATATCATGAAAATCCACAACCCTTTACTTGTATAATATGCAAATTTCATCTATTATTTAAAGTAAATAATCAATGCATTGAATGGCAAATTATATAAACATGCAAACACATCTATTACATTTACAAACTTTTAAACCTTACAAAATATCTCACAAAATTGCATCACAAAGTACGCATAATACTGATCGATAGTATTGTTAATTGTATTATTATTAATAATTAATAATATCAAAAAATGCAAAAGTATTTTGAACAAAAATAAATGACTAAATCCTTGTCAGTCATAGCTATACCTTTCAGTTCGTTCGTTAAAATGATTATTCATTCACAGAAATTGAAAACAAATGAATTTAAAGGCGAAAATAAAACTTTGAGAACAATTTGCAACAAAATTCGTACAAAAGAACGAGAAAATAATGAACGAACGATGCAGTTATCAAATGAATAAAAACAGGCGCTCAACCGAATTACTTGTTAGATTTCTAATAACTGAAACTGATAATATGCAAAGTGTACTTACTTACTTATTCATTCATCACTAATGCACAACTTGAAGGTTACTTTTAAAACAGTTTGTAACTTGAAAAGTTGCATAAATCTGCTAAAATGGCTTGCAAATTCAATGAAAGCTTATTTATTGCTGAATTTATCCAGTTAAAAAGATAGAAAAATTGTACATATTTAAGTTAATTTATCGAATTCTTTCTTTTAATCATAAAAAAATATTTCAAGCATTGGGATAATTCTTAGAATAAGCTTAAAGATAATTAAATTAATAATATTATTGATTAAATAGGATAAACTGACGGTTGTTTTGAAAAATAATATAGCAATAATATACTAATTTAGAATAAGTTTGCTGCAATGCTGAAAAAACTTCGCAATATTTGCAATTATATTTTAAAATGAACAAAATCTTAGGAGAGAAAAACAAAAACAAAACTTTAAATCAATAAAAGTTGAAAGAGTAACCAAAATACGCCTTAATTTTAAGTAATTACTACTTTAAATACGTCTAAGCTTAAGTCCAGTCCTAGGTATATATGCCTAGTGGAGAGAAAACTTTTTACGGCCTTTAAACCGCAATAATATAGCCAAGAATGTGTGCAGCATAACAAGCAGACATGTATTGATTCGTTAATATTAGCCTCGAGATGGCCTAAAGCTTAGGCCTAGGCTTAGGCTTAGGCCCGAATTGAAGTCATCCAATCAAGCAAGCAGCCAGAAATGAGTTCCTTTTTCATTAATTTCTTATGCATATAATGAAAAGTAATTACTACTCTCACATTGCTATCAGTCCAATTTGTTTTGTCTTTATTTTTTTCACTTTATGTTTGACGTCTACTCGATGAAACAAAGCACAATAAACGCTTTAAATTTCGACTCATTCTATCTCTTAACACTGATAATATTTTCATCACTTACAGCATCATTTCTTAGATCTTCCTTATCATTATTAACACTATTATTATTGTTAATTAGCATCATCATTATTATTACTGTTAATTAGCATCATCATTATTATTCTCGTATTGTCATTATTATTAATATTATTTAGTACATACTGTTATTGCTATTATCATTAATAGTATGATGTATATATGAGTTAAGAGAACTATTTTTCTGAATAATGTTTGCATGAGCAATGTAAACGTGCAAGATAGAAGACGAAAGCAAACAGTACTTGTTCTGATACCATTCGCTATGCAAATTTGAAATATATTGTATTGTACAAAAAATATATTGTACAAATTGAGCATAGCATACTTAACGATTAATACTGAAATCACTTATCTCTTGCAAATTTTAGAAATTGTTAACAAATTGTAATGGTAATCTCACTCTGAAAATTATATTGGCAAAAACTTTGACACAAATTACCTACAAAATTGCCCTTACAATAATTTGAACTATTTGCTAAAAGTATTGAAATTTTGGGTATAAATATGAAACTTAACTTACATAATTCATGCTTTGTTACCAATGCACGTATGTCTCGATGAATACATGAATCACTCATGTAATTATAGTGATTAAATACAGTGAAAAACAGAAAATAGATTATCGTTTTCATATTTATGATGGATTAAACTGAGCATAAATGACATTCTTTTAACAAAATTCAAAACTACAATTAATCATGGGTTATTTATTAAAAAATATTCAAGAATGTTACATTTGAAAGTTGAAGACAAGTTTTGAACTATTTTCACATGAAAAAATTACAAAATCAACAATTTAACATTCTTGAATATTACTGTATTTAACTGTATTTAAGAGTAAAAAACAGTTCATTCAATAATAAAGGAATTGATAATTTTTAATTCAGTCATTATGAGAACTGCAGAAACAGGCCACTGCTGCACTGAGATATTCTCGATCTCGATCTGATAAAATCTCCTCAGCGCAACTACCGTTGTGCCAGTTATAAGTTCTTGGTAGAATCGATAATGGATCAGGTATTTGTGATCTAAAAATATTACTGAGGATAATTTGAGTTTCAGTTCATAAGAAATTGAATTAAAATTTTGGCAGTAAAATTGAGTATTACTCTCTAATATACTTTGTTTTTATATCTAGCAAATATATGTTATTCAGTAAATTTCTGAAGAATTGCAAAATGCAATAAAATCAAATTATCATTTTCAGAAATCTGATCTCCACTATGAGAAGTAATTTCAAATATTTACATTATTAACTTCTTGTGAATAATTTTTTAATCACAAAATCAAACTAAATTAGAAAACCTAAGACGGAATGCCCAAATATCGTGTTCTACCCATGCATTATCTGTATCGCGTGAGTCTACGACTGATACGCGCTTGACGTGAGCCACGTCATTGTTTGTTTCACCGATATTTAACGAGCTTTGGTTGCAAAACTGCTAAAATATATTTGTTTTTTACAAATATTAACGTCTGTTAATATTATTCAAATTACTTCGGGATGTAATGGAAAATCATTTTGTCATTGAATCTTTGTTGTATACAGAAAACTAACAAAAATGATTTTTCAACAGAAAACAGAATACATAAATTTTGGTGTGCCATGGAATCTGATAGTGAATATTCGCTGAATTAGGATAAACTAAATTCTAGCAGAAATCAAATTTTTTCAAATCTTCAAGACGATGCATTTTGTGTCAAGCTTATTTACAAATCAATCACAGCAAACGTGATTTGAATTTGACTAATGAATTTAATTACAAGTTTAAGCTGAAAAATGGTCCATTTTATTTTAGGTTACTTTTGTACTCTAAAAAATAAAATGGACCATTTTGTGAGAGTACACAGTAATTAATAAACTTTCTTAATGATTCTCAAACATATATAATAGTTTTCAATTCGGAAAAATAATTGACAGCTTCAAATTTAAAAACTTACACGAATTTCAGAATCTGTGAGTAAAAGACTGCGCAGAAGTGCTTGAAAATCTTCGTCACAACGTGCAGCACTGAAACGCCATCGAGAGGGAAATGTATTTCCCTCTAGCAAAATCTTAATTTTAGTAAATAATTTCCAGTAATTACTATCTGTCCATAAAAACACTGATGTCACACCTCAAAAAAAAATCTTAAATAATTGATTAATATTGAAAAAACTAATTGAAAATAAATCCTGAGTATGAAGTAGCATTGCTATTACAACACTACTGCTTTTACTGATCGTAATTATCACAATCATAGTAGATCAGTATAGGACAAAAGATCAAAAATAAGTAATTGCAAATGAGAAAAAAATTTTTTTACCATAAAGGAATTAGTGTTAGAAGTCTTCCGTATTAAAATATAAACGCTCAGCAAATTTACGCCAAATTTTAGGTGATTACCACGTCCGGCTATACCTTGTCGGCCATTAGGATTCAATGGTAAACCAGAGGAATCGACTATACGTGGCAAGAGTATGTCAAAAAGGTCTAACATTTTGTTTTGTTGCCAACGTCTCCAATATCTTCGTAATAACGAAAGATTCTAAAAAAATTTTAATAATGCAAAAGCAAAATTTTACAAATATATAAATGCTAATTAATTTCACTCAATATTTAAAGACTTAATTAAAAAGACCTTAATTTAGAAAAAGCAATTTTTCTGGAAATTTATTAATTACCTCAGGTGTTGAAGCATCGGCATATTTCTGAATATCACTTGCAAATTCTTCAATAGGCTTACAATAAAACGGTGGACAGTAATATGATATTAATATGTTATGTGGTCGATATTTTTCTTCAATCATTAATTTTTGAATATTTGTTTGATCGTATGGAACACACTGAGAAGAGTTATTCCAAGTATAGTTAGCATCTAAGCAAGCAAAAATGTTTTATCCAAAATTTTTGAAAAATTTAAAATTTAATTAAAATTCTTGTAAATACTTATTTTAATATACTTTCACAATTTTCAACAGTCTTAACTAGCACGTAAAGATATGTATAGGTTAGACTTAAAAAAAACAGTACAAAGTGCTATTTATTTCGTACTATTTTTTATTCTAATTAAAATAAAATTAATCTCATTTAAATAAAAATATTAATTGTAAAAAGAACAGAAATAGAATAGATATGTAAATACAAAGTTAATTAATAGCATTAAGTGGCATACTTTTAGTAGTGGCTGAAAAATATTGTGATACAGTCAGTAATCGTATTTGTTCTTGTATTTGACGACTTTCATTGCAATTACATCGAGAAGTTTCACACCAATTTTTCAACTGAGCTACACTTTGGCTCCATAAATATATGGATTTTTTCTGAATTTTTTTATTTTCATTAATTTTATGCATAATTAGTTAATTAATTAATTTAGTATGTGGGTAAAATAGTTAAATAATGCGTAAATTTGTGGTGTATTGAAGCAATTTTTCCTTTCAATGATTACTTTAGTATTAATTTGATTTGTAGTATTATTGTAAACTTACTCTAAATTGAGAATTCTGAAAAGTACGTTCAGATGGCGATGGAATACATTTTGGAGCATTTGTAAATTTGGGATTAGTGCAACATCCTTTCAAGATAAAGTCTGGATGATCAGAACTGACTGTATACAAATTTTCCCAGGAACTGATCAAATAGCGATTTGATCGACAACATAAAGCACCGAAGAAAAAAATTGGTGTAAATGGTGGCGGTAATGGAGGACGAAACCTGACTTTTAACATATCTCAACTAAATACTTTCGTGACATCACAATCTTGTGTTGAAAACATGTCAAAGGTCATTACTAAATGAATACAAGTGTTATTACAAGATGAATTAATATTATTATTAAGAAGGCAATTCTAAATCTTAGTTTTAATGCATTCACTAATGTAATACTTTCATATTAAATGCTATTTATACTGTTTTTTTCGAAAATTTGAAGATATTTACCGAAATTTAAAAAAAAAGCTCAATATACAGATTGAAAATAATGATAATAATAATGATAATAAGGGATGTCTGAATAATACTAAACATAACATACCTTAAGTCTTCAGTTAATGAATAAAGTTGATATTTCCAAATTTTATCAACTTCTTCATCCACTTCTTTAGCTGTTTTAGCGAAAAGTGCGATTATGATAGGCCAACAGATCAATTTAAGGATAATAAGATATTCTAATATGGCTATATAACTGATCCAATTTCTGCTTGGGCAATTATAATCCGTAAATCCGCCAACAGCAACGCACTGATTGCGATTTTGGTAATCTCCGATATATGACTTTTTGCAGTGTTCTGTTTCTACCAATTCTGCAATAACAAATTATGTACATACAACAAAGTGACAGAATAATGCTAGAAAAAAGTATTATTAATTTCATTCAAAATTACTTTAATTTTAAAAACATTACATTATTCATTTTGTATGCAATTCAATTTCATTTATTGAACTACCAATTTACACCAATGGAAAATTTGCTAAAAACAAATTCTTAGCATATTTTTTGCATAAATAAAAAAGGATATATTTGTCTCTATAGGATTGGTAGTTAGAATAATAATTGTTTTTTACCATTATATTGAACTTGGAATAGTGATAACGAAGCCCAAGAAAAAGCTCGAGAAATTAATGACCAAGTAAAAGCTTGATCAGGATAAAGTATAGAACGAAGCGCTATTGCACTGCTGCAGTTTATTAACTTTTAGCAATCAAATTCAAGATCAGTTTATATTTTGTTACTAGAAAAATGAGATAATAATTTTTTAAATATAAATTATTGAAAATATTTTGTTTTAGCTGAAAACTGCTAAGAAAAACCTATCACAAATATTGTATTATCTATCTGTTTCGATGAATAAAAATAGAAAAATTTCTGTATTTCAGATTATAAATAATTGAGCATAATAAAATTTCTTTGAATTTTTTCAATAATTTATTAAGATTATAATCACAAAAGTTAATAGCAGTTCTCAAAATTATAATAAATTATTGTTAATCATAATAAATTATTATTTATTAAAAATAAAACAAGACTGATTACAGCATGAAATAAAGTAAATTCCCAAATAAAATTACTCATTATAAATATTTTAAGTAAGTCAATAAGTTCTACCTTGTGATGAGTAAAGTGATTAGAATCAAAAAATTGACAAAATTTCTGATTATTATAAGTTTAATCCGTATAAGAAATGTTCCAAATGTCCTTGATAATGGAACGAAATAAAACAAACTTGAATAACACAAATATATAAAAAGAAATGCTGACCAAATTCGAATTACAAAATGAATACTAAATGGCTGCAAATAAATATCAAACAAAATCTTTTATTTTTCAAAGCTTTAAATTTTGACTGTAATTATCAAATTTTCATAATTTATTTGATTGTGAAAAATAATAAATAAAGATAGTCATTTCAAAGATAAGTAATTAATTTCAAATCCAAAACTTCAATAACTAAAGATAATTTAAAAATTCTAAGCAATTCATTTATTTTCAAAGTTTTTTAATGTTTGATTTTCAAAATTAAATATGCAAACCATAGAACTGACGGAAACTGTTAGCGAAACTATTTTCAGCACAAGTATGATAAGTAAATGCAACGTTATCACAATGATATTGATAAAGTACCAGCGAAGCTGAAATTTTTGAAATAAATTGTGTTAAATTTGAATATTTTACAAAAATATTTACTTTGAAGTAATAATATAATATCAATATTCTATTTGAATAATATAAATACTTTATTATCACTTAAATTCTGATAACTTTTATTAATTAAATTGTTAAAAGAAAGATTAATATTGAAGTAAATATTACTTGATATAGCAGTGTTCGCTGGATCCGATTGGAAAATACCCAAACTGATTCAAGCAGTGATAAAAAAGTCCACAGCCATATTAAGGCATCCATAATGAAAGAACCACAACCTGGTAGAGAGATCTGAAAATTAGTCTTACGAATAATTCAAACTTCTTAATTTTAAAGTTTTTAAAAATACAAAAAGGTCAAAAGTTGAAATAATAAATTAAACTTGAATGAATGCAATGAATTGTGAGAAGATTTAGTCAAATGAGGTTTTTATCACTTAAATTTTAATCATTGCTTTAATTTTCAACCTTTTTCCCTTCTTACAATTCCTCGCATGTATTAAGATCTTACGGTTTATTCCTTACATGTGTTAGCTTAGCCTTTGACCTTTTCAAGGGAATTATAATAAAAGCTAAAACTGTAAAATGCTTTGTATCAAATCATGATGCAAAAATTTTCATTTGAAGCTTACTGCATAGGCGAATAAAGCAATGTGTAGAAGTCGAAAGACAAGTGAAAGCCAATATTTAACAATTGGTGTAGAATAAAATATTCCAATAGATATTCCGGTATGTCGCGGGGTTTGTCTTCGTTCTTTGCTTCTGGAGACTAAAGCAGTAGCATCGATTTCCTCTAAGACAATTCCTTCAGCAGACTGCTGGCCTATACATATTATTTTGAATAAGACATGCAAAAATTTTGCTAAAACTATTTTTTGAAAATTTTAAATTAATTTTTTTTGGTAATTTTTATCTTTCTATAATTTCAGTTTGAGGGAAATTTTATTCACCTTCAACAAGTAAACATGAACTAGTCGATGTTTCACCTAGCGATCGTTCATCACGCACAACTGCTGATGCGATACTTTTATTTGACATGAAGCTGAATAGAAAATTCACGTAATTTTTATGAAAGGATTTGTTAGTAAAAAAAAACAAATATAAAAAAGAAAGCTGAAAAAAATTATAAAATGCTTATTAATTAATTAATTAATTTTAAACTGCATTCCATTGTTATTTATTGAAAAAAAATTCTGTTTTTGAGTACAATTTTAAATCAGTTAGCTTTTTACCTACGTGCAGAATACTTCCGTTTCATGCTTTCTTGTCCATGGAATTGTAGAAGTGCTGCTGTGGGACTCAAATTTGAATTTTGATCCAGGGAATAACGTTCTGGTACGCAGTATTTCATCCACCAGTATATTGGAAATATTAATACTGATGCGAGCAGAATCTTAAGCCAGTTAGGTAAAAATATAGATGTTTTGGAATAAATTACCTATAAAATATTAATAAAATAAGGTACTTTACACAAAATCAGTTAAAAAAATTAGTTTCATATATAATTAATGATTTTCGCAAACCGCTCTACAGTATCAGTAAGTGAAACTTTGCAATTTTATTGAATATTAACCTTTTGAACTGTGAAATTCACAGACCGGCTCTCAAATAAATTACTTATATGCTATGAATCAATGAAGTCAAAAATAAAAGATGGAATAATCTATCACAATACAAACTTCAAAGCACAAAGAATTTCTGAAAGTAAATAGCAAATTTTTTCCGGCAAACTAATTATATTAACAAAATTTTTTAATCAAGTAGAATAAATCAATAAATACAAAGGAATATTATAACCATATATACCTGTAATTTACCGTACAAAAGTCGACGAATCCATTTTTGGCAACAGCGATGAGCTATAAATTTTTTGTTGCTTGTCTGAAAATTTAATTTGATTAAAGTGCACCAACAAACTTTATTTTTTTGAATTTAAAAGGTTAATTTTTGTGAATAAACAACTATTTAAAATGTAATAAAAAAATAAATTACTTGTAAGGCAAGTTCTGCCAAAGTCAAACCATTCAAGAAATCTAGGGGTATACACAGCGATTGATAAGTGCTACGTGGTGATTCAGTATAAGCCAAGTCTAATATCCCCTCGGCATGATCGCTAAACCATTGTGCAACTGTATACAAATCGTCCTTGTACAAAAGACGATCATTTAGCTAGAATAAAAGTGTTATCACATAAATTATTATTTTGTAAATAAGTCAATTATTATTTATTTCTAAATAGTTTTTGGCTGTTTTTAAATTTAAATTCAACGCATTCCTTGCGAATCTTTTAAATAATAATTGTTATATTGCTGTAAAGTTCTAAATATTACATTTACTAAACTGAAGGAATTACAAGTTTACAAGCATAACTTAATCAAGCTTTTATCTAAATAACATCGATTATTAATGCTTAATTTCGAAAAATAGCTTCAAACCTTATCTGCAAGTGCGCGACAAATTTTAGCAAGAATAATTGCTAAAGATAATGGATGAGTGGAATATGCACAGAGGCATTTTGCTAATTCTAAACGATTTAGCATTACTGACCAAATAGCCAATATTTGAAGTGTTTGATTTGTATTTGTCAAAAAATGTTGAAAATATGAAATGGGCAGTAGATATTCAAATCCTCCTGACAGTGAAACCTGAAACTGAGTAATAACAAGTTAGTTATTGGATTTTGTTTTATTGCTAAGCAATTCTAATTTAATATTATAATTTTGATCTACGAAATTTGAAATTAATTTCCAATTTTCGACTAAAATTTGCAGATAATAGCTTTAATTTGCAATCATTTACCAAAAATTCATCCATTTCTTCGATAAAATTAGAATCGATTTCAAGTACTGGGGATTTTCTTCCAAGACAATCACATGTGATTACTGTATTGAAGAATATCTTAAAAAAGAAACTTATAAAGACATAACTATAACAAACAAAAACAAAATAATGCTCATTTAATTACGATGAAAAATAATATTGTTCACAAAAATATTAACTTATAAATTAGATAAATAATTACACTTGTTGTTAATTTTTTCTCAACTTTCTTACAAAGCATATATAAATTTGAAACAGCAGTATGATACAGTAGTATAATATACCAATTAATGATCAGTTTTGAATTTATAACTGAGATTACGATAGTAAAAGAAATTACTTGATCAGGAGCGCAACGCATCAATTTTGTTAACAGATTTAGTGATACTTTCCAAGAAATATTTTGTTCTAATATAGCTGCTAAAGTTATCAATTGTTGATCTGTTAGTAACGCTTCTTCAAAAAGGTCAATTAAATTCTAAAAATATAGTCTAGGATTTTAAAAAGGTCAATCATGTTCTGAATAAAAAAGATCAATGGGTTCAGTTAAGTTGATAGGCTATAACTTTTTGTGACATTTGAAGTTAGTACTTCTGAATAATTTTTAACATGGAGTAAAATATAACTTATTATTGTAGAATACAGTACCATATTTGTATTAAGTTTATTGAGATCGGTAGAAGAAATAATTGTTGGAACATTAAGTTTGATAGCAATTTGCAGTAGGCGATGGATGTCATTTGCATCGATGGCATTCTGCATGCACAACTTTAATAAATGTTCTGGTAGACAGAGCACCTAAAAGAATAAAATACTGTCCCTTGAATTACTACCACTGTATCCCATAGAGTAATGATCGATACAGTATGTAATAGCTGTGAATAATTTCAGAAATCGAGAAAAATTAAGTAAGAATATGTTGTTTTAAAATAGAGTTTTTAAGAAGTTCTTCTTAAAATATTTCAAACTTTTTATTTACTGTACTTCAAGTGCTAATTTGCTATCTTACTCTTTATGCATCAGCACAGTGCCAAAAAATACGGTAATAATTTCATTACAGTACTTGAATAGTTTGCTGTTCAACTGTTTTAAAATTCGAACTTTTTTCAGATGATTAATTTAATAATATTTAGTTTTTGCTCCTGTCTAAAGCTCCCTGCTTAAAATTTCATCTTGACCTTTAATTTTACACTTAACCTATTATTTCTGAGATTTCTTTTTCACTGATTACAAATTCCAATGCAGAAATTATAAATTTATTGCTTGTTTTAGCAGTTTTTAGATGTAATATAATAATATTAATAATAATTAATTGAGTAAAGTGTAATTCAAACTTACTTGTTCAAAGAGTATAAACGAAAGTAAAGGTATTTCAGCACAGCCAACAGCAAATGAAGTAATAATATTCTCCTTAGCTTCTTCTAGAAGTTCATTTCCATGCAACAAACTATTCGGTTGCAAACTTCGTAGTTCAGAATCCAACCAGTCAAGCCAACTCTCGAAGTGAAACGACGAGCTGCGATATAGCAGCCATGAAATGTTTAATATCGCACAAAGCTCGCTTCCATCCTACATATTTACAAATACCAAAATTTACTTTTTTTTTTACTGATTTATAATTAAATTTTCAATGAAAGTTGATTGGTCATTCATACTTTTAATTAACTGCAATTAACTTTTATCTAAAAGCACTACCGATTCTACAGTATACTATTTCATCTTCTTATTACAGTAACAATTTCTTCAAACCGACTTATTTCTTATTGTTCTACTTACTTACTTCTATCTTTGTAGCTGCACCTTATTTATTTTCTTAACTTGTTATTGTTATGTTCCCTTACTCATTTACTTACTTACTTACTTACTTACTTACTTACTTGTAAAACAATCACTGATATGCCACACTGCAAATGTGCTCGAAGTTCAGCGAGTGATGATAAATCGCTACCAGAGAACAATGCAACAGGTACTGGTAAATTTTCTTGTTCACTGGGAGGTAACAAGACTGTTTGTGATGCTGTTCGATTATTACTAATACTTTGAGGTATTCCGATCAGTAGTGCTATCATAACAGTAATTATGTAATGTATTAGATCAAATATTTTATTTTCTACAATCTAATCGATAATTTCACAGTATTTTTGTAAATTGAAAGCAAATTTAAATTTTATGCCAAAAATATACAAAATAAAATGATTAAATTGTTGAAACTTTATAAAAAATACCAGGAGGTGGTGTTGAAAGTTTTACTGTAATTAACGCTTTAAATAAAGCTAAACTTTTAGCTGATAACAGTTCTTGCATTGATAATATCATCAATGTATTAAATTTAGTATTAATCATTGGTATACGATAAGTTTGTTGATCATTTATTATACATTTTGTATCATTTACTGCCAACAAGAGAGTTTCCATACTATTTTCATTCTAAAATTATTGCATCATCAAAATTACAGCAATTTTTATAATTTTAAAATGTAAATAATTTGTACATTTTAAAAGTAAAAAATTGCAATTGAAGTAATCGTTGTATGAAATTTATAAATCAAATGACCATTGCTATTAGCAACAGCTTTTAAAAAATTATAAATTTTATGTGATAAATGTTTGATACATTGATCATTTTATCATAATGATTACTTTTTATCAATAATTAAAATTCAAACAATTATTTAATTTAAACATTTTGCTTAACATACCGATAACTGCATAGCATGCACAGCATTAGCTGCAGCTCGAGATAATGGATCTCCAGCTTCACCTGATATTACAAGCCATGAATTACAATTTGCAATAATTTGCAATAATGCATTTTCAATCTGCTTTTGTTTCTGCAAAAATTATTTGTAAATTTCTTGACGAAATCATTTCGGTAAAATGATTGTTGAGATTTTGATTTAGTGCTAATTTGAATTTATGCAAATTATAAATAAAATATAGAATAAGATAATTTGGAATAATTTAAATTGAGATAATTAGTGGTCAATTTAAAAATTATCAAGAAATTATTTAATTTAAATTTGTTACATTTTATTGTTCATTAAATTCAAAGCAGAATATTTGATGCTTTGCATTCAATCAGATGCATTTAATTTCAAATTTGAAATAATTTTCAGTATATTTAAGTAAGATTTTACTTTACACTGTTTGCAGTGGAATATTTGAAAAAAGTAATGGATAATTAATCCATTTTTTGAATTTTTTTCTGTCTGAGACCGAACCAAAACATAAGAAAGCTATGAGAAATTGAACAGTGAATTAAACAAAATTTCTTTTACCAAAAATTTTGGTCAAATATCACTCATATTATCGGTACTCAAAATAAATTAGACAAAAAAAGGTGTTAAAAAATAGAAAGTTTGTGATTATTACAGTAATCAGTTTGAGCTGAATGAAGTATTTGTTTTTATATTCCAAAATAGAATTTAACTAACTAAAGTTAACTATTATAGGATGGACTCTCAGATGTAATCACTTACTTACTTAAAGTACTTTAACTTATTAATTTTTATTTTTTCATAAATGTCAGTTCTGACAGATTAAACTTTGTAATACGTAAGTAAAGTTGCTCCACAAAAGTATGAAAATGAATATAATGAGAATTTTACTTGTAATTCGATCAGATTTTCACCAGAAATCAAAGAAATGATTAGGTCAGGAACACCTTCATCTATGTGCCGAGAATATGCTGCTAAATGACTGTAAATATGCTTAACCACTTTTGGAATCGCTTTTTGAGATGTAAGTAATAACGCTGGGCAAGTTTGTTCTATCAAACCTGAACCATCACTACACGTTGCTTCTACGCAAAGTTTAACGTTTGTAACAAGTAATTTATCATCACGTGAAGCTTCTTCTCCACTTTCCATTGTTAATTACTGAAACATCTGCTTGCCTGAGCAAAGCTAAATTTATTTTTGATAATTTATATGATGAAAAATATTTAAAAAATCAATGAGTGTATGAAAAATTTTTCATGTAATTTTCTTATGTTTTATTTGTTGAAAATTATTCAAAGCAATGAGCTTATAAAACTTAGTTGAAGCAAATTTTCGAAAAAATTGTACAATGAAATAATTTAAAAAATCAGAGGAAAATGTAGGCAATGCTTTATATTTATTGATAATAATAGTAATATTATTAAAAATAATAACATTATTATTAAAAAATAATGATAATAATATTAAAAAATAATATTATCATTGTCATTATGTGGCATTATTCAATGACTGCATGGAATATACTTAATGAATATATATATCTATTTTTCAAAAAATGAATAACATTTATTTCATTATCACAAAGTCAAAGGAAAAGTAGGTAATGCTTTGTATTCATTAATAATAATAGTAATATTATTAAAAATAATAATAATATTGTTTTTAATAAAGGTTATTATTGTTAATTCAAAATTAAGTACGTAAGTAATAGAGTCAAAAGCTAAAAAAGTGAAAGTTGAATATAATGCAGTGTAAAATGCTGTTTAATAAACATTAAGTAAAGTTATTAAATAAAAGCATAAGTAAATAAATATGCAAAAAATGGTATGCAAAATACAAAGTAAAGTTTGACTAATAATAAAAAATTGTAATACCTTTTATTTTGTAAATAAATTATATTATACTGCTAAAATATGTTCACAATAAAAATTATAAAAGCAGTCACTATGAAGATATATATTACACTATTAATATGCGTTAAAAAAATATATGTAAATCGGAACTGTTAATGGGATGCTAAAATAAGTACTTAAATAAAAATTAGCTAAGTAATTAAGTAAGTAAATAAATAAGAATGTAATTAATTTTTAGTTTAATTATTTTGTTATTGGTACTAATGCAAATAATTTGCTGTTTAGAAGTTAATTTTTGATTACTTTACTCAAGCATTTTCAAGATTTTCTTCCATGCTACAAATAATAATACAGTGAAACTGTTTATATGATGTGATCAGCACTAAAGCATTTTGTTACAGCTTATTCAAACTTCTTTCCGCTTGAAAAAAAAAGAATCTGAACGCACGTTTGGTTATGAGAGTACGTAAACATTAATTTTATAAAAGCAGTACGTAAAGCAATCGGAAATTGCGTGCGTGATTGGCAAAGATTATAACTGCGCGATTTGGTTTACCAATTAATGCTTGAATGATTAGAATATAAAAAACCAAATAATATGATTACATGCATACACACAATTACAACTATACTTACAAATATATACACACCACACATATACATACACTCATATATATACATACACACTCATACATATACACTAAACTCTCCTATGAAAAGAAGAATGAAACAAGTCGAGAAATCACTGACCTCTTGCAGTAATTAATTAAAGACTGTTATTTTACTTTCTCGAAAATTACTCTTGACAAGCTCATTACTTTTTAAGTAATTATATGATTAGTCATGTCTCTTTTTGGCAAATATCACTTCAATTTTTACTATTTTTATTCGCCTAAATTTTGCTCAAATTTAACAATTACAAAGTCGCACCTTTTTTATAAACAAATCAAAAAACTATCACATTTTTGGATACCATTTTTTCAATAAATATAATTGAAATTGTATCGTGCTAATAATAATAATAATAACAATAATAATAATAATAATAATATTTTCAGCCTTTTTTTCAACAAAACTCAAAAGTACGCTTTGTTTTTTTAATTAGTCGCATTAATTTTTTTCCCTTTTCTTACAAATTTAATAACTTATAAGTATAACTCGTCATTTTCTTAAAGTTGCAGTAAAAAATAATAAACTTTTAAAATGTTAAATCAATTTCGCTACTTTGATCAAACGCTGAAAACAATAGCCCTATGCACTTACTTGACCATCAATTCCGAGGCTATTGTATAGTTTTATTCTTACAAAAGTTTGTAACTGTCTAAAAAGATTACATTCGAATATATCTATTTACTTTTACAAAAAAGTTCCTTAAATGCCTTTGTATAGCTGCAGTTTCCAACAACGTTCCGCATTAATACTTGATTCCGTGAACACTCTCATACTAAACCTCTGATTGCCAATAGTCCGATTCAAGTTATGTCATACCAGTAAAACTTCATATTTATTCTGTATTGATTACAGAATGAATTTGACTACAGAACGTTATTTTCAGAAGAACAAAACCACAGACCACTTATGAATATCAAAGTATGACTTCATTTGAGTTTTATATTCATTATAGCAGCTTATTACAACCACAAATTGTTAAACTTCTTTTAGTGAGAGTATTTTCCATTCAAAAGAACATCACGACAAATTTTTCATTTGTCAAGTTGGATTAGACGTTAAAGAGAAACGAATGAGTTTTAAAAGAATTATAATTTAATATTTAAAAACGAAATATAACACTGAACATTTGTTGAAGGCCAAATTAAAAATGTACAAAATTATTACTAAAATAGACATATCCAAATCTATCATCAAGATTCATACAAAATTTACACAAATAAATTGGACTTTGCAAAACTAAACAAACGATCTTTCATTTTAGCGTCAAACTTTTATGCATTTGACATTCTTCAAATAAACTATTTGCAATACAGATTCGCTTTCATTTTTACAATGCATCTGATTTTCTATACACTCAGTGAGAGGAACACAAAATTTAAACAAAACATAACTGAAAGACCTATTTATCATGCTGAAATTAAATAAATACATGACATTCCTAATGCCAATATCACAATACTAATTTTAATCTTTGAAGTAATCAAAACTAGAAAAAGAGTTATTAAGTATTTTCAGTTTTTAAAAAAAAGAAAATCTTCACTGTAAACATATATTATAGAGATTATATATTTTAAGTGAACTAATTTTGGGTAATGATTTCATACAAATGTATCAAAAATCAATTCTGAATAATTATTATGTCAAGAAAACAATTCACTTAAATCACACGCAAAATCCATTTGGAGCACGGCATGGTTTGTTACCAGCCACAAAAAATAATATAGGCTTTGATGCAGTGCACACGCAAATTCTTAAGGCATCAATGGAAGCGGTCAGTGATGGCGAAGAACTTATAGGTAAAGTTTTCAGAGTATTTCCAATAAAAAATTTATTCGTATGAAAATTTATAGATCCATCAGGCTGAAAGAATACTTTAATTAGTAATACTGCATGAATAATTTTTAATTTGCTGAAAACTAGTCAAAAATGCTTTTTGAAAATATGTTACTTTTGTACGTTTGTGTTTAAAAATTGTGCGAAAAGAAAAATATAAAGTAAACTGAATAATTTTTGTTTTTTTCCAAAAAAATTCTGTCAACGGACAAAAATACTTTTTTGCTTTGTAATTATAAAGTTGAAAATCTTTGAAAAAAAATTAAGTGTTTCCGGTAAAGAAACGATCAAAATTGTGACTGATTTTGTGCAAAAATCAAAGCACATCATTAAAGTAATTCATTACATGTCTTTTTCATTTGAACGCAAATTTTGCACAAATTTGTTTTGACAATATTTAAAGTTTCAGCAAATCAACATTCAAAAAAACTACTGTAAGATAAACTTCTACTCAAATAGTATAATATAAGATAAAATATAATTAGGCTAAATTTTAGGTGATGTTTTTTGTAGTTCTGTTATTTCATTAATGGTTGATAATTAATTATCTTTAATTTCAAGAATTAGTAATTGATTACAATTTTTCTTCAATATATTAATTAATACCGAAGTTTGCAGAAGAATATCCATTTCAGCAGTGAAATTCATTCGTTTTGCTTCTAAAATCACTTTTTCGTTGCCACGCAAGCTTAGATTATCAACGTTTACTAGCAAATTATCATTAATTGGCGAACGGATCTGAAAATTTCTCAAATATGCAAGAAAAAGTTTAGTAATATGGTTTGAATTTATTTTTATTAGCAAATAAAGGCAGCTGATAGTATTCAAGGTTTATATATATTACCTTTTTTGATAAAGGTTTCGCATTAATTTCTTTTAAAATTAAAATTTTTATACATTACATGTATTGAAAAAATAAGGCGACCTTTATCAAAATTATTGCATTGTAAATTCAAATATTGAAAAATAGATTTCGAAATAAAACAAGAAATTGGAAGAAAATGAAAAAAATTAAATCCATTAATTCAACGTTTTGATTAATATAGAGATCTAGTAAATTAACTTCCACTTAATTAATATCTTTATCAAATAAATTGAATGAATCAAATCATATTTAATAAAATTCCGTTGAATAAATGATAGACAAAAATTTATAAACAATTACCAATTCTCATTAATTGAGCAGTTTTAAAAAACATCAACTAAAAAAAAACTTTAATAACAACCTTGTCAGTGATGATATGAGATGTAGATATTTTCTTGATTCTGTTGTCCACACGAAAAAGCGGATGTTGAGCACTGAAGTACGGTCGAATCGCATTTCTTATCTATTAAAAATCCAAATTATCACTTCAAATAATCTCGAAGATCAGTTATTACAATTTTATCATCATACATAAGCTTGATGCAATGTAATTATCATAAAAGCTTAAAAGAATCAAAATACCAATCAAAACTTAAAAGTTCATATAAAAGCGAGATAGCATTCTACTGAATAATCTTATTCCTTTTAATTACGTTCATTTATTACATTCAATTATTATTCATTACTTTACAAAAAATTTGCAGTAGAATTAACGAACAATAAATTGATTGTTATTCTCAAAACGACAAATACCATCTTGCAGTACCAAACGATTGTGACCAGCTGCTTTATCAGTTATTACAACCTAAAATGCTATTCTAAAGATGATTGTTCCACATTTCTGCATCACCATTTTAACCTGGAGATATTCACAACACTTAAAACGATAGACAAACGCCATTGTTTGTATGAAAGAAAATATGCATAATATGTGCACTTGTAATAATAATTTTAACTCTGGCACGTGTCATCACTTCTATCATTTTTATCAAAATAATGAGTATTATAGCAGCTAATAAAAAAGCTAATGTACCATTACATCCACCTCTAAAAAGCTATTAATGAAAACTCTAGCATTCTTATTAAATATTTATCAGAAGTAGCACTATACATTAGTAAAAGTTGTAATTACGTAGTTTTTTTATTTCAAAAACAATGCAGAAAAACAAACAATTTTACCCCGAAAATAATGTCAGGAAATTTCTAAAGTTTTTAATAAAGCGTTATTATTCACTGCTATATCTGTTATCCAAATAAAAGAATTCTTGATACAATTGCTATGAATGATAAATTTAAATTTTGTAAGAGAATTTAAAGCTGTACAAAAAAATTTAGATAATTCACGATATTATATGCTAATTTTTGATTCTATATCAGGCATTAATGCATTATTTATACTTTTAAGCATTCTCTAAAGCTTGATAAACAACCTAATATGTCTCAAAATAACTCACTCTTGAACCAACAATTATCAAATCTTTTCCATCTCTACCATAAACTGTACCACTTTTTGCGATTACTTTTCCAAGATGTATTTTATCAGCAGAAAATTGTATAACTGTCTCTTCTACACCAGTTTTTGGATGATGTCGACTGTGAAAATGTAAATGCCTCATACCCCTTGTTGACATATTCAAAACTCGAATTATGAAGATATTTAACTGAAAACAATCACTAGAAGGTAAATTAACTGAAAAATAATACAAAAATACATGAACAGGTTGAAATTATGCATTGATTTAACGCACATTTCATTAGTGACCTAATCAAAAACAAACATTTATATTATGCAAAATTTGTAAAAAAAACCTTACTATTAATATGACAGTTGTAATAATTGTAAGTAACATCAAGCATATTAGCAAAATCCATAGACGTTTCTCACGTAATCCAGTCACATGCAACTTATATTCGATATTTTCAGGAAAATTTGGCATTGCTTGCTCTTTATGATCCGAACAGCGTGATAAATGTTGTTGATCATCGCCATTAGTACCAAGATACACCGGGCCACCTGCTAGCATTACTTTTATACACAACTGACAAGTAAGTGTTATCTCTCAGCAATTTTCGTATTTTCCACACGGACTTTGCAGCTGTTCACAAATTTCTACCATCTAAACAAAATTTGTAATACTCTTTCAATACCCTCCAATGCATTACAAATCATCTCTAGCAAATCTAATCTACTGCATTTTAGAATCTATTCAATGTTATCTAGAATCACTGTAACTAATTCGAAACATTTACTTAGATCAATCACGCGTACTTACTATCAGGAACTACTAATCCGTAACATAATTGATTCATAACTTGTCTTTGCTCTTCACAAAAAATTCTTTTACTGCGTAAATAAATAATCATGCGCTACTTCTGCAATTTTTTTTCAATTATTTTATCGCAGAAGACCATAATAGAACAGAGAAAATTTTTGAAAAGTATGACTGATTTTATACTTTTGCTTAAGAAAGAATAGCATCATTCCAAGAATAAGGATAACAGTAAAGCAGCACAAAACTCAAAAATAATCTGCACGTCAATCCTATTCTCACTGACGCAAATTTCTGAAGCACGAAAACTTCTTGCCATGAAGTTTGAATTAAATTAAATATAACAAATCATCTCACACTCAAACAATCACTCGGAAAATCATAGCTTACATCAAAACAAGATTAATATGAAATGCAAGCAGCGCATCTCAAACTTGTAAAATAAATAAAAAATCATAAATGATTTAATTTTCGCTAAAATGCACGCGAACAAAAAGTATGTTTTTTTGCACAAGCGTAACTTATGTATATGAACAAAAATTCAATAACTGGCCCTTCTCTACATTTAATTATAATAGACAATTTGTAAGGGAACACAAAAATTTCATCGCAATAAGTTGAAAAGAAAATCAATCAATTCTATCACAAAACTGAAAATCTGAAATCAAAAGAAATACGCTCCTCTCCATCGGATCCATGGATATGATGTATACGCTAGTAATGTGACGAAATTGCACCATTAAAAACGTCTCTGCAAAAAAAATTCTTCAGAGAGATCAGCTCACTTCTGGAAATTATGGCTTAATTCCATCCGACAATAACGAAATATAGAGCTTTAAACATTTTTTCTCTACACATTAAAAAAAAGAAACAAATAAAATTTTAAAAATGTATTTTATCCCTTAAAAAATTGCCGCTAAGATATATATTTTAAAAACTATTTGCGTCCAAGTGCGGAAAACCAATATTATGCCTTGTAATCTCTGAGACACGACAGACAAATACGAGGACGATCCGTATGATCAAATGGACATTCTTTTTTGACACATAGTTTGTCATAACGACAGTAACCATGAAAGTAATAACATTTCTCGCCTGGACAATTCGGGAAGTTCCTGAAACAAAAACACATAAAGCTAATAGAAATTTAACAAAGCTTAAGATGCTTAAACTTCAAAAATACTTACTTACACTTTACCGGTGGTCCATGTGGACATCTACCTCTACCACGCTGTGCAATCCCAGCTGAACGACCTCTTTGACGATCAGCAAGATAAATTTTCTCTTTCAAACATTCCTAATATAACAAACAACTAAACAGTCTCATGTTACTACACTAATTAGGAATAAAAGAAATTAGAAACTTGGAATTTGAAAAGATTCATACTAGAATAGAGGAGCTGAGTAGGTTAATCATTTACAAAAGAAAAAAATCACAAAGATATAAATAAACCTTGTAAATGTGGTCTCGAAAGTCTTCCCAATTTGAATCCTTTGCGCTGCTAACTTTTCCACCAAAATCATCTTTGCAGAAATCGCACAACAAACGATAATCAGAGTGACGGCGCTTCATATGTTCACAAAGTTTCTGCACACTTGATGCTTGCTTCTCACAATGCGGGCATGGAAAACAAGCACCATGAGCGCGGATTTCATGTTCGCAGAGTTCCCGAATCGTTTCAAAATCACGACCACATTTGCGACACGGATAATCGTAAACTGGACGTGCTGGGCTAGAAACTTATACAATTGTAACTTCATTTTGAAATTTTGATAGTGGTTCTTTATAATTACTATACATATTATTAAAATATTAGCTTCTAAACAAAACCCTGCCAACAATCTATCGGCAATTCAGAGGTAAAGGAATATTTAATCTTAAACCCATCTTATTCTAAAAACATCACAAAGACAGTCTATGTCCAGTATGTAACCGAATAGAACGGTATAACATGCGGAAAAACAGACATGTATATAGCTCATAACACGTCGTATTTATAACTACGCAAATATTATTACCTTTCTAAGCTACAACATAATTTCACCTGCGCATAATTTCAATCATAATGAGAACAATAATAAGAATAATGATTGCACCAATATGTTTGTATCCGCTGCCATCATCATAAGCCCGTTGGGATGGGTGTGACGAGGAACAATCATAATAATGATAATAATAATAATAAATACTGAGACTGGACTAACCGGATGCAACTAATACCGTCAACACAACACTGCATCAAAAATTAAAAAATTAAAATACTATGGGAATAAAAAATCAACAAGCAACAAGTAAATTAAGATCAATTTCGATCATTCAAGAAAAAATTTCAAGGAAAATTAATGTGAACTTTTAACACTTAACTTTAGAGAACTATTTTTTCATATTAACATATGTATGACCCAGAATTTTCGGTAGACCGCATGTATTTTTATGCTTTGTAAATTATAATCTAGTAAAAACGCTAGAACCTACTAAATCAAAGACCAAAAGCTGTCGCAATTATTTGACGAAAAATTTGGAACATACCTCATAGCTTTGAAAGAACCATAAGTATCCCGACTTGAAGATGACGAACTTCGAGAAACACGATGTCTTGGACTTTGACTGCGAGATGCCTTTCGACGGCGTACTGGGCTACGACTACGAGTGTATGAATGGGAAATACGACGTGCTTTTTTCTTGGATGATTTGTGACGTGAACGAGAGCGTGATCGTGAATTAGCACGCTTCGGTGACCGAGAACGAGAATGTGATTTCGTTTGACTCCGTGAGGGTGACTTAGATGAAGCTGAATGCGTGCCAGAGGTTGAAGAGCGACGACGACGATGACGTCGGCGTTTTGTGGGAGAACGCGATTCTGATCGCGACACACGCCTTTTTTTCATATCTGGACTGAAACAGTATGCTCGGAATTTCATTTTAAATATTTACTGTTAAACAACTGCTTGCTGAATATGCTAAGTCTTTATGATCAGAATTTGAAATGCAAATTACGACATAATTGAATAAAATAATCTCCATACTTTTTTTCCTGTAAACTAATTTACATAAAACTATCAACAAATAATGATAAAAATAACAATTATAGCAATAACAATATTAATACGAACTCTTCTTTTTCTTTTTTAGCGAATTTTTCCAATTTTTCATTCTCTGCAGCAACATTGCCTTCTTCAATGTCAGATTTACCAACCTTCATTTCATTATTATTCCCATCATCAACTGCTGTATGATCCAATACTTCACCGCCATTTACTTTCTGATGTTTTTCGATAGCTCCTACTAAGCTTTCTATCTCCATTGCCTACACAAAA